AAGAAGAACAAGAAGAACAAGAAGAACAATAACAATAACAAGAACAAGAACAATAACAAGAGCAGCAACAGCAACAGCAACAGCAACAGCAACAGCAACAGCAACAACAACAACAACAACAACAACAAGAACAACAAGAACAACAAGAACAACAAGAACAAGAATAACAACAAGAACAAGGAGAACAACAAGAACAACAAGAAGAACAAGAACAACAAGAAGAACAAGAACAACAACAATAATAACAACAAGAACAACACCAACAGCAACACCACCACCAACAAGAACAACACCAACACCAACACAAACAACAATAACAAGACAAGAACAATAACAACAAAAAGAACAATAACAACAACCACAACAACCACAAAAAACACCAACATCAACATCAACACCAACACCAACACCAACACCAATACCACCACCAACAACAACAACAACACCAACACCAACACCACCAACAACAACAACAACAGCAGCAGCAGCAGCAGCAACAACAACACCAACACCAAGAACAAACAAACAACAACCATACACAACAAACCACAAACAACCAACACACAACAACGCAACAAAACAAAAACAACAACAACAACAACAACAACACACACAACAAGCAATAAACAACAAGCGACATACAACAAACGACACACGACAAACACAACACCACCACGAACACCAACATCAACAACAGCAGCAGCAACAACAACAACCACAACCACAACCAACAACCAACAAACAACCAACAAACAAACAACAGCAACAGCAGCAGCAACAGTAACATCAGCGACATCAACAGCAACAGCAACAACAACAGCAGGAACAAAGAACAAATAACAGCAACAAACATTGAGCACCCATTTACAATCAACAACTAACAACCAACAAACAGCAAGCAACACACAACAAACAACAAACAAACAACAACCAACAACCACCAGCCAACAAGTAACAAGCAGCAACAAACAAGGAGCACACAACAAACAACAGCCACCAGCCAACAAGGAACAAACAAGCAACGCAACAAACAAGCAACAAACAACAACCAACAAACAACAAACCGGCAGAATAGCAACATGGGTTTGTTTCAACATTCCCCCTAACATCATTGGTTTCCGTTTGGCCTCCCTTTAAGACCAAGCAACCCAAAGTTGGACTCCCTCAAAAGACACACCCTGGCTTTCAGTTCCTTGCCAGTTTTAGGGGTTGGATTTTTTCTTAGAAAACGAAGACCCGGCGACTCAGCGGTTCCCCAACTTCTCTTCGAAGTTCGTCTCTTGTGTAGATAGTCCAGCGCCAAGGTAGCGCCTAGCCAAGCAAAACGGGCCAGATCCGCCCCAGATCCCACTGGAATGTGGGGAGGACTTCGGTCAGAAGGGTTGGAGTCCTTTTGAATGCGACCGAAAAAGGGGAGCGCGCCTCAACATCAAGACGCCTCCCAGATTTCCGACCTAAATTCGCATCATCCAAGCAACAGGAAACTCAAAGAACACCTCCCCTTTCACTTGGGCAGAATCCGGCATGGGGCCACAGAATGCCTCAGGGTTCATTAATGGTTGCTTTGTTTGGGCGGGTTGCATACCCTTTGTTATACCCTTGTGCACTCCCTCTCTCTCTCTCTCTCTATATATATATATCATATATCTATATAAAGTATCTCATGTAAAGGTTGGTATTCCATTTGGACCTCTATGATGTGTGTACATATGTATGCATAACACCTATATACACATATACGTACACTATACATACAGATTCTCCTGTTCGCTTCACTTTTAGTCTTTAGTCATCTACAAAATGTACGCGGCCCAACTCTTCCTCTGCAAACCGTAAGTATCCTACTTCTTCCGCACACAGACACACACATCCAGTGTCCAGTCTTCACACTCCCCTTCATTCTTGTAGACCTAGTTGTTTCATTCTTTGAGCTACATGAGACATCGAAAGATGACAAGACCACAGCAAAGTGACCTCCCTTCCCCCTATTTGCGTGCTACTTTGGGGTCCCCTTTGCTCCTGGCCATGAGAATCCCCCTGCAACGCGCGCTTCGGCTTTTCGGTTCGCGGAAAGCTCCGATCCGAGCGCCTGCGGTGTAGAAGACGACGTGGCGCTCGCTGCCGTAGAGCTTCTTGCGGCAGAAGAGGCCGTGGAGATCTCCTCCCAAAGCCGCCTCCAGCAAGAGGTACAGGGTCTGGTCGTCGCTGTAGGTCCTCAGGCCGGTGAAAACCAAACGGGGACAGGGGGGGGAATGAGGGATTCAAAGGGGACATACCGTCACTCCTAACATGGCACCTGCCAGGAATTACCTTTAAGAGGAAACTGATGTTGGACATGCCCTCCCGCAAGTGCTACGTTAGCGGGAGAAAGGGTAATTGATAAGATAAGGGAATCAGGGAACCGATGCGAAATTTCCTGGCTGTGAAAAGTCCCACTTGTTACTGTGCGTGGCAGTTCTGGGGCATGGCTCATGGACTGCATCAGTCCAACTGATTGCTCACGTGACAAGAGTTTCTTGTTTTAAGTCAGACGCTTCGTGACTGGGCAACTTCTCGCATTGCTTTATCTAGCTGTGTATGATTGAGCGGTAGTGCCGTATCGCGTCAACATGAAACATAAGCAAATCCATTTCAGGCCGTGAATGATGTTCTTGAATTGAACAGTTCTGTGCAGCCCCTCATTCTGTAGCATTCGAATGAGGAATATGCTGGATATAAAGCAACAGCCCTTCATATGCAGACCCATGCGGACCGTCTGACAGTAGACTGTCGCAAACGTTTGCTTTTGCATCGCGCATAAATATTGAGACCCCTGGTTCAAAGGCCAGTCTCCATATTTGCTAAACATCTCTGCAAAGCAGGCCCCCTGCTCCCACTTTAGCAACAGGGGTGTGTGGTGTTATCTTGCACACCTCTGGGCCAAATGTAAGCTTCCCCTTGACAAACCAGGACTGTTGAAGAGCCGGCCCTTTAATAAGTGGCCTTTGAAGTGCAGCTGCAAAATCAACCATGCGGACAGGCCTCAGATTGAAGACAACCAATATAAGCAGCGTCAAGGCTGTCTAACTGACTTCAGCTAAAGCAGCTATCACTTCTAGGGCTAGCTTCCCATCTCTTCCTCATGAACTGGATTCTGAATACCAAGCGTTGGTTGTCTTGTGCCAGACATATCTGAAGAACAAATCTCGGGGTTCTCCGTAGATCGAACTGCAGTGTCTGGCAGTTCCCAAAAAGCATATGCTGAGCCACTGAGCCCTTCCATGGGAGCACATCTAGGTCTGCGAGACATCTTCAGCTGGGCCCATTCCCAACCACATATTACCAGAACGTTTTGTCCAGCATGAGATCATATGCAATGATGTCTCTCGATGTCAGGACAACAATGACTCTGCCCAAACATATTACACACATCCAGCAGCTTCTTGGATGACCAAGTGCTTGCCATATGAATGGCCAATACACCATGCCTACAGCGGCTATGCACGAGAAGGCTCTCCAGCAAGTTGTCTTGCTTAGCTCGAAGGCCTAATCGAGTGTTCGAACAAGTCAGTCATGCACCAGTAAGATGAAACGGAATATAACGGAATCCTTTAACACATCTATATCGCATTTTGCGGTGGAGGCGTGCGGAATGTTTAAGGACTGATTAAGAGCTCAACAACACAATGTGGGAGGAACTCGAGATGAGCAGGCAACTTGGAGGCCAGTTATGCAGACCTTCAAAGCGTGCATTCCTTTTCAACCTGCCACACGCAGTATTGCCGTTTGGGACAGGCGGGGAAACACCGGTGCCTGGCTCATGCGCGCCATGTTTGGCCATGCTTCTCGAAGAGCTGGATGATGAAAGGCGACAGGACGTAAGACAATGCCATCCTAAGCACATGGCCATGAACTAGGGACCCAAAATGGGTGGATGAATTTGTGCACCAACCACTTTTCAGGTCGTTCCAACTATTGAAAGTCGAATCGCCGAATGTGTTTCCGGATTCGAGCTTTTGCCTTTTGACCTGCCTCCGCTGTTCGGGAGAAACCACAGCCCCCTTTGATTAAGGGAAGGGGTTCTGAAAACCGTTGCGTGCTTAGAACGGCTTTTAACACGATTAGGAGCCTTTCTGGCGGGGACCCTAATGACTCTCCTGATTGGACGCCATCTTCAAGCAGGCTTTCATGTGCACCGAACAAAGTTCCTGTGAAGGGCAACAAATGCCCCCCTCATCGTTGGGCATTTCCGGAAAAAATGCACGTATCCGACATTGGCATGTTGAGGTTGCTCTGTAAATACGTCGTTTTCGCCTCAGCGTCGTTTCTTCTCATGTAGCCTCTTTACCAACCAAATGTGCTGCGGTCATTGTTGCTTGGCGCACACCGGCCAAAAGGATTTTTACCAGATTCATTGACGGCGCCATCGAAGCTTCTGAAACAACTTATCTCTCGAAGCGATCTCCCTTGAGCTTGAACTCTGGGTCACAGTGACAACTGTGGAGCAGGTGCTTCCTTGGACGTGAACATGTTTGGTGGTAGGGAAAGTAAGCAATCCGGCTACCGTCACGGGCTAACTTCACCGACCACTAGAAAACCAACAATCAAGACGCCGTTTCCAGTGCTGACGCAAAACATGTCCAATATAACCATGCCATGCGGGATAACACAACCATTATATTTTTTTTAACACCATGATCATCTCTGCTGGGTTCAGCACGAACGATCACAGCCTGGACCCCAGCACTTGCAATACGAGCCTTGTACCCTGCAATGGTTCTGTTTAGCTAGAAGTTCAGCCCTTACCCATGCAGGCTATGCTGGATATCAGCGTTCCAGTAGTTCTGTACGGTGTCCATGTGTGTTGTATCTGGAACATTTCGTATGATGAGCCCCTCTAAATTGTTTTATACGGAACAGTGGCGACCTTTCGGGCGCAAAGTACTGGTGCTCTTGACTGGTTACTCCTTCATGTGGGCCATGGCCTTGGAATTTCTTGTCTGTTGAACGTTGCGACCGTAACCACTGAGACATCTCGAAGCACTAGTAGTTCCCTATCGATTGTGGGCTTACAGCGAACTCACAACACTCATCCCGAGGTGCCTCAAACAGCGCAGGCTTGCCTGCGCGAAACCACCACCATGCAATGCTAGCATAATGTGATACTTGACAGCATTTTACATTCTCATTGTTTGGATCACTACTGATTATGATACGGATAACGTTTGCGAATTATGAATCCGCTCGTCAATCGATCAGGATAGCACTCAAAACAAATTGCTTACCAAATATTTTCACCCCAAACTATGAAGATTGACACACATGCCATCCACAGTTTCAGCCAGAACTAGAGGCCAAGAAGCTTTTCATTCAGCACAACATCCTTCTTCTTCGTCTTGACCAGAAGTCCTTTCGAGCAGCCTTGGTGGCCATCTTGGAGGCCATCTTGGAGAGGTCTGGGTTTAGCAGTTTCTTGGCTGGTGCGATAGGGAATGAGTTGGAATGAACCTGGGGAGTCCTGAACAAAGGAAACTACCAGTTGGATGGTTTATAGGGTGTCATTTCCTCACTTCCTGTTGAGCACCAGCAAGTTTTATGGCTGCAGGAAAAGGTGGATCCATAATTGGTGCAGGGAATACGTTTACTCTTCCCAGTCCTATTGTGCTTGCGTATGCTCTATCGAAGCGCTGCAGGTTCCTCCACTGCTGCAAAGCTCCACCGATGGCAGACATGACGTCATCCACTGTTTCCATTTCTTCAAAGGAGACGGCAAGTCTCCGCAGTCACATGTCATACTACCACACCGCCATGGATCTATTTTGACAACCCTTATTCGACTCACATGAGCCCGCAAAATAGCCAGTTTCGGCTGTATCCTAGGCCTAGCTACAATAGATTCGACGGCCACCATTCAGTTGCCTGACATCTAAGGGTTCTCCTCACCCATCGTTCTCTATAGAAACCACCATTTTCCGAGGGGGACTGGCATTTCTTTGGGATCCTTTACCTGGGATGGCTGACCCCTCACGATTCTCGTGGTTACTTGGCCGCTAATTACGATGCAACTGGTTGCAAACTTAACGCCACCAATCTTATCAGGGTGTGGCTATTCATCGACATAGCAACCAACCAGTTTGTTTGTCTTGTTGCATGGCCTTGCTCAACAATCGAACTTCGCCACCTACTTCTACAACCTCCGTGTTGCCCTCTTTGCAGCAAACATGGAAGTGGACAGAAAACCTTTGTACTACTCAAGCCAGTTATATTGCACAACTTGTGTGTAAACCTTGAACACGTTGCACAAAGGATAAATCTTTGTGGGTTTCGGTGGATCTGTCAGTCCGTCGGGTCTGCATGCAGGCGTCCCTCCCCCCCCCCACCAGTTCACTCGGTTCCCAAACATGGGCACGCCGCGTGGGGGAGGACTCCTCCATAATTTTCATGTGGGTCCAGTCCCATGTACCCCGTACCTTTCCTGTACCCGGTCGATTTTTTCTGAGTCGACGTTTTAAACTCTGCCCTGGGATCCACGTGAAATAACACACCTCTCGACAACAGTTTCAACCAAATAGGTGCACGAGGGTAAAACAAGATGTGGGAATTTCCTCACGCAAACCTTGGAATATTCCACACGTCTGGGCTGTCCTCAGATCCCCTGCTACAAGTTTAACTTCTAGCGGGACAAGATGGACATCCCCAACCACTAAACCACCTAAACCGATCCGAAAAGCTAGGCAACCGGATGGCTGAGAGCTTGCCACCAAGATGTCACAAGCCAGTTGCCTCATTGCCTCATTGCCTCCTTCCTCGTTTACTCGACCTCTCGTCTCGGGGCTCTTCATGTCACGGTTGCCTTCTGCTCCCCTGCTAAAAAGTTTGACTTTTAGTGGTTTAATACGCAAAACCCATTAGTTGGCCAAAAGTTAAAGTCCCAACATCCCTTGGCAAAATGCGCCAAAGATGTCACCAAGTCAGTTGCCTCATTGCATCCATCCGTTTTTTTCTTGACCCGTGGAAGACGGGAGGGCTGAAAGATGTCACGGGGCTCTTCATGGCGAAGGTCTCCTCCGCGTATTTGTGGGCCACCAGCTCCACTGCCCCGAACTGGCCCACACCCAGCAGGCCAACCCCCACCAGGTCTTTGCGGAAGATCTGGCGGCGGGACCGGGACCCGCAAAAAGGAAGGGCCAACCGGAAGTCCGACGAGAAAACCGGCAAGGCGTTAAAACCAGGGGGTGGAACCACCGGTTGGTGGTTGGCGCACATGAGTTCTTTAACGAATTTTGAGGTGCGCAGGGTCCTAATTGAAGATCAGACGCCTCGAACTGTGGCTCAAACATAGGTTATATACCCCCAACCTCAGTAGAACAAAAAAACAAGAACGTGTGACACCCGGGTATGGAAAGAACCATAGTGATCCTTTTGAAGGCAAACCTCCATCTGGCGCAGGATTTTGTTCAGCGGTATTAGGGGTTGATTAGGGGGGTATATGTCAAATACAGAGCCGAAACCATCACCCTCAAAACAAACACACCCAAGTCACGAGCTTTGAGCCACGTTCCGACTCCCTGGAGGTGTGTCAAAACGCGCGAGTTGGCCCTCCATGTGATGTTGAGGCGCGTGAATTTGTTGACACAAAGAACATGCCATCAGGAAGAACGCCCCGCAATGAACGCCGCGGGACAAGCATACTATGTCGACTAGAACAGACCGAAGCACAAAACCAGCCACCGACCCAACCCAGCCCAGACGCCACTCAGCCAAAAAACAACACAACAGATTGATCTTGTCCCGAAACAAACCCGCCAGCAATGTTTCTGTTGCCATTCCAGCCCTTGGGGCATGGATCCCTGAGAATTCTCACTTTCTTCGATTCTCACTTCCAGAATCACAAGACTAGGCCCAAGCAAGTCCAAACACGTTGTATTTGGCCATGGGCCAAAATTTAGTACCCCCTGTGAACATCCCAATCCCCACTAAAATCTCGACTAAAATGGGTGGTGCACCTACCCCAAAATGGTACCATTGGTTTTGACCCACAGCCATTTCCCGCCATCCTTTCAAATGCACGGCCAACCACCGGACGCCTGGCGCTTCCCCCCCCGCCCCCGCGCCGCTCGCCTTTTGGAACGGCTTCGCGGTGACGCCCTTTAAGTTCTTGGTGGCCCTGTGCGCAGAAGCGGCCAACTGGCATGTGTCCTTTTAGGGTAAATAAATAGCCCTGGTAGATGATTAAACCACCAGGTAAACCAGGGCCATCTTTTTTCTACAAAAACAACCAAAAAGGACATCTATGGAAGTTGCCTGTCTATGAACATCGTGCACCACTTTCATGACCCTTTAACATTTTCATCTTGTTTCATTGGTTTTTTTCTTCGCTCTTCAGTATTCAATCTCACTTTTGAGCGAACCAACGGCTGCATCAGCAATACCTCTCGAAAGCTTCCTGAAGGCTTGAAATCTAAACGGACCTGTTCAAATAACATAAAGTTCAGGCCCCCCCCAAGCTTCCCGCGGCCTCGTCCTACCATCCTCCTGTGCTTGAATGATCTCCTCGAGCGATCCCAAGAGCTGGTTAAAGGCGATCCGGTCCAGGGCTAAAACCTGCCAAGGGATCCAAGTACACCCAGCAAACCGCCCAAGCGGCGAGACACCGTCAAACATCCGGCGCGCTGTGGCTTGCATCTTAAGCGTTTCCAAGTGGATGGGGACTCTCAGAGCATGCAGTTTACGGCCTCATATCAGAGCCAGGTAGAGAGCGGTCTTTGACACCAGGCAGCACCGCATTGCTGCTGCCCGATCAGACAACAGAACACAGATTGAAGCCAACAACCCTCGAAACCTTCATGTCATCTGAGACAAGGAGAGATGTTGAACCCACCCCCAAGCAGAACGGGACCCTTGTCCAGCGTGGCAGCGTTGATCTTTTAACGGCTGGGTCACTTGGATCTTGGCCTCATCTACTCTGGACATCTGGATGATCGTTTCCCAGAATGATGGACCTCGCGGTGGCTGGTTTGCTTCAGGAGCAAATCAACCACCATTAAAGCGGATCAAAACAACACGGGGCGCAGCTGGAAGTGGACGGGGCTAAGGTCCAACTGGTGGTCTTGTGCTGCACATCAAAGCAGCATCGTAGGCATTTTTAGGCGGTAGTGCAAGTAGGTGTTACCAAATATACGACACGGGGACATGGATCTCTAAATACCTATATGTACATATACAGGACCGTTTCCCTAACATTTCTTTTCTTCTCCCACTTGATGGAGCGTTCGTTGGTGCAATCACGCCTATGTCACAGGTATTGGTAGGAAGGCCTCTGGAATACGATTCCACGCGCTTCAAAAGAACCAGTCCCAGCCCCAACCCTGAAATTCAGCCTTGCCTAAGCAGCCAGTTTACACAGCGCCAGATGTGAGCTCTTGCGCAGGCCAACGTTCGCAAATTGCCCTACCCTCTCAGCTCCAGACTCAGTCCCAGCCCAATCCCAGCTGTGCCGCCCATTCGACAATGCAGTTCAGCCCAGCCTAGCCAGTTTCTCCTCACAGCCCCAAGCTTTGCCAATCTTGCTCAGGGGTCTTCCTGAAACTTTTCACAATATTGAACCAATATGGCGCCTAATTCTAAGCCAATACTGAACCAATGCTAAACCAGCACTAAGCCAGCACCAAGCCATACTTAACCAATACTAAACCAAGTGCAAGCATTTCCGGCCTGCAATGTTGCAATCATTTGGTCTGCAGCTCATACGCTCCCAGCAGCTTCTCTGTTTGATGCTGATTTTATGGTGAGTCAGACGGCTTTTTGCTTTGTGGATTGCCGAGCTTAAATGAGGCCTCCCTGAATTTGGTACTATGTTGCAATCGTGGATGCCATCTGGCACATTGTGCTCGTGTGCTTCATATCTGCCCAGCAAAGTGCGGCCCCAGCAGCTAGTGAGCACGCTGTCGTGGCCACCGGGTTTGATGGCTTGAATATTGATCCTCCCCTTTGGCCCCCTCTCGGGATCCCGGTTTCCCTATCGGCTACCGAGCGCTCCTTGGTTGTGCGTTGGCTTGGTATTGGCTCAACTGACGTGGTATTCAGGCAGTACGGGAGCGTCATTTTTAGGGCACCCCAAAATGGTGGTTTTCCCGTTTCCCTCAAAACTACAAAAGAATCAGGCACCCCCCAAAAAAAATCTGACAGAGACCTGTCCATCAGGTTAGTTCCCACCCCACCCCGCTCCCCCCCACCCACCCCCACCCCGCTCCCCCCCCCCTCTCCCCCTCCCCGCCCACGCCTTCGCCTGAGGTGAGGTCACCTGCACTGTGGCGGCCCTCGGCTGGCTGCTGAGCAGCGCCTTCTCCCCGAAGTGGTGGGCCGTCAGCTCCTCGCGGTTCCGCGCGTTCCGCGGGTTCGCCGGGGGTTTTTCCGGTCCCATTGATGCATCCTAGGTCCTCCAGTAGAGAGGTTAGAATAAGTTGGCACTTCTTTTTGTTTGCCTGTTTTAGTAGTCGAACCCTCCCCCAAAACAGGGTAAAAGGGGGACCTAGCATCGGTGTGCCGAAGAACCTCGAGTTGGGCATGGTCCCAACTTTCCTTGTTTCTGGACGTGGGGGGGGCCTTTGATCACAACTCTGTTGTAGGGTATCTTCAGTGGCAAGGGGGCTTAACGAAACCCAGGACGTGGCGTTTGCTGACCAGGCTCGGACTGGTGGCTGCAACCTGGGCTGTTCTCTTCGCTCCAAAGGGCTCAACCCACTTGCCCAGCGGTCACAGGCAAGCCGCGGACAAGAGATCAACTCGTTGACATGGGACAAGCTCCAGGAGGCTAACCAACGAGACAGCCAGAACCACAAAGGAGGCATCCTGTTGGAGGCAACCAGGCGCAATCAGGTTCGCGATATGTCAGCCTCTTACCTAAGACAACTAAGCCACGCTTGAGCTGAGTTTCTGGCCCTTGTGACATGGATGATCGACATACTCAGCATGCCAATCAAGTCATGTACTCGGCCGAACTTCTCAAGCTCCGTCATTTCCGTGTAGCATTAAGTGGCATGATCGCCCGTCTATAAATGATTCGTCGTCATATGCTGACATGCTCTTGCATGGATGTGGATGGCGAGAAATCACTGACATAGAGGGTGTTGCAAAGGGAACTTGAAGAAAACCATTCCCTCCAAGAAGGAACCCCTAGTTTCAACCTAGAGGATAGAATGCCAGTTCTCAGAGCGGCCAAAGGCGGCCCCGGCCTTTCACCACCAGTCCTAGGGTCTGACATGTTTGACCTCCGGTGTCTGCTTTCTTTGAGGACCCCCCCCCCCCCATACCTTCAAGGAGCAGCAAATGGAAACCAACATTGGGGCATCACAGCAACAAGGGAAACTTCCAACAGTTAGCATGAGGGTCTTACAGCTCGATCAGGTCAAATCAGTCAAACCAGCTGAAACCTCAAAAGCCACATCAAGCCGGAATTCTTCATGGAGTCAAACCCAACCACCGACCCCAACTCCGTGCCCCCCAAGCTATTTTAAGACACACTCCATGTTGGCGCTCCTCAGTGGACGCTTGCAATCGCGCCACCTGGTTGCCATTGATGAGAACCGTCACCTGGACCAAACCAGACCGGTTCGGTTGGTGATCTCACAATGTCGGCTTTTCGTGGTGCATCAGCATGACCCACATTTACAATGAAATTGCCGACAGGATGGTTGGGACTGATTCCAAACGAAGGCACACTTTTCATGGTTGGGTATGACCTCAAACAAAAAGTAGCACTTTCCTGAGTATTCAGGTGTGACTGCCCATCTGGAATCACCAGGTTTGAACTCTCATACATTCATCCAGCTGGTGAAAGAGATCTGCATGGGACCAACAAGCATCTTCATCTCCATGGCGTAGGACCTGTTTTCAACACGTGTGCCTCTCATTTAGACTCTTCAATGGACCACCCCCCAGACCCCGAAAATGGGTTGTTCGGCCTCCCCATCGAAGAGTATGTAGAAGGTATCTCCGGTTTCTCCTCAGCTCGCTCATGCGAGCCAGTCGGCGGATTTGAAAAGCTAAGGCAGATGCAATAGTGTGGGTGGTAAGGGACAACAGCGCACGCCCGCGGGGATAGACATTTCGACTGTTGCACCGAGACGTGCAAATCGGGTGGGGGGTTGCCGTCGGAATCCGGAGGTGGAGAGACGTTCTCAACAAAGTAAACAAATAAATAAATCAGAATATATATATATATATGTTATACATAAATGCGTATAGAGGTAGAGCAGGCAGAAAGGGGCAGATCTAGAAATTGAACATGCAGGAGGAAACTGACATGTTGGGGCACAGAACAGCCAAGAGGCTCCACAGAGGAATAAAACACCCCTCGTCATCTCTCACTTCTGTGGCACGATGTGAACTGTCGATCTCTCTCCACTGTTTTTTTTTGTTCTCTCTCTCTAAGCGCCCTCCTTGTTTCAGGATCACGTCGCCCTCCTCGAAAGTCATCTCCGTCAAGGCCTGCAACAGTCCCATGTAGAACAAGCGCTTCCATCGAAGCAGTAAACATTTTAGGTCCCGAAGGGCCGTCTCTTTGGAACCCTTCCCGAATCGGCCGAAGTGGCCCGCATGGACTGGCTCTCGGTACTAAGACCTCCCAGCCCGAGAAGCCCAGCTCTTGTTTCACGGGCGCGTCTGATTCCCATGCTCGGGGCAAATTGATTTGGTCCCGTACGCGGCCCCGGAAGCCCCCTGATTTGAGCGACAAGCAAAGCAGACCGATGACTAGAGATACTCTTTGCGCTTTGAACGGATAACCATGACACGGAATTTAGAGCCGCAGTTAGCGTTTGCAATACCCTGACGTGGGTGAAATCAGAGAGTCCCCGGATTTCTACGGGAAAACTAGAGAGTCCATGTCCCTGACCACAAAGCAGGCATCCTTACATTCTACACCTGAACATTGCAACTTGTAAATGGCGGTTTCCCTTTATTTTGGCGAAAAAAAAGCAACAGGTTTCAACTGGTTGCAAAATGGAGATCTTTTAAGGAGCCCTGCATAGGCGACCGGAGACTTTGCCTGAATTCCCATCCAACTGGATGCCCAGGGTGCCGAGGCTCGATGGGAGCGATCCCGTGACAGGCTCCGACATTTGTTTTGCCCTAAATGACTGCGTTGGCTTTCAAGCTCCAATTAACTTGGGTGATGTAGATGCCCCAGCAAAGAGTTCAACTTTTTCGCTGGTGAAAAGGAATTATGACAGGAACCCAAAAGCTAAAGTCTAAAGATCCAACCCAACAGCAGTACAGCTAACATCTGGCAATATCAGGTCCAATATCAGGGTGTCCGCCCTGCAAGTTCCAACGATCTCTCCACACGCGCACACGCGTTGCCTGTGCCGTAAACGTCTTCTCATCCAGCGACAGCGCGTCCAGGATCTGAACCCTGTCCTCAGTCGGCGTCGCCAACTCAGACCTAATGTGTCCGAACGTCGCTTATTGCAGCCAATCACACAGATCAGCTTAGTTTTGTTTCCCACGCTCAAAATCGGCCATGGGTAGAAACACGGTGTTGACACGTCTTTATCTAGTAAGCATCACAGTGAGCAATTCGTATCCAAGGGCAAGCCTAGAATGCGTCGTTTATATGAGCGTTGTTTATTATTCCCTACAAACTTGCTTGGACATTATTCAAGCTTCCGCCGACCCTTCCGCATCCTTGCCGCGGGCCAAGAGGTCCCTTCCGCGAATTTCCGCGGCACATGTGTTTCATTGTTTGCTTCCGCAAACCTTCCGCGGCGCATGGTTTGCAACATTTGCTTCCGCGAGTATTGGCGCAGAAAGGAAAGTCTTTTTAAGTAAGGTAGCGTTTCGCCGCAGCCTGAGTAGGCTTAGGCTCCATTGGGCTACCCATGCTACGTGGCCACTTGCCTCAAACACGGGGCCACCCTTCCGCGGAGCTTCCGCGAAGCTTCCGCGAAATACGCAGGCTGTTTTGGTCTTCTTGGCTTGCTGCTTTTCGAGTAAGCGTTGCGCTTCTTGTACGCGGCAGCACCTTTTTTCTTCTACTGTAATCGTTTCTCCGTGCTTTTCCATGCACGCACTGAAACATGTAATTTCATATCAGCCACAAAGCTTGCGCGAAGCCTTCCGCATGCTTCCGCGCGTGTGGCGCGGTGCGCATTTTCAACAATAATGTCCCTCTCTCTACTAAATTAGCTTGCGGCCAAAAAACCGCCGCTCATATGGATTCTGCATCCATCAAACAGAGGTGGATGATCCCAGTTTGGAAAGCAAATTCGAGTACACCAGCAAACGAAACCAAGGTGATGCTTTTGCTGGTCTTCTGTGTGCCTCTTTGCTTGGCATGTTTTGAGGGGAAGCCACAAAGAAAAATTACCATGTTGTGAGTATCCCTATTTTGACACATCCCCAAAGTTCGTCCCGTATAGAACGGATAAAAGGGCAAGCCTCCGAATCCACGGGTTGATCGAGGACATGTGGGGCCGGGCTTGATCTTGAAGCATGCATTGCCTGATTATCCCGCCGTGAAGGTTTGTTGGTCAAAAGGCAGGAAACAAAGTGCGCCACCGCAAGAACTTACGCTGCGAACAAAGGACGTGGGTGTTCACACCTTGATCTTTTCATGCCCCGAAACTTATGCTGACTGCTGGATGCAGGCCGTGGGTCGTGCAACATTTGGTGTGCTGCGATGGTTTGCTTTGCTTTGATGCGCCAACCTGTGTTGGCATCGCAACGTCGGAGGGTCCCAAACCTAACACCCTCACCCCTTTTACCTGGCAACTTTACCTCAAAGCCCGATAAACAAAACCCTGCAAACTACAAACGCCTGACTAACAGCTACAGCTACAGCGAGTCAAAGTGCCCCTACAAGCCGACAAGCACCAAGCCCTTCGCCATTCCACCAGTGCTGAACCCTCACAAACTTCAAAATATCTCTATCATTCGGGGCCAAATAGAAACTCGCTTCCCAAAACAAGGCAGCAGTGAAGCGCCACCGGTTCCGGTGGCCTAAAACCATCGTATAGTGGGCTGGAAGAAGCTCTACATCTATGTCCAAATGTCAAACCTCAGCCTCATGCGGCCTTGGCCTTATTACTCATGGCCGACAGCGGCAAGCTTCTTGTATTTACCAACAGATTTCCTGAGAACTAGCAAGCAAACCGACGCGCGTCAAGCTTGCAGTCTGTCCGGGTAGTTTTAATTGTGCCACCCAGTTGTTGCAGCCTAGGTATTCCACGATGCTTTCATTCCTTTTGGCTAGCAACTTCTGTGAACGGAACAAATTGGGATTCGAAACCTCAACAAGCACACTGCTCAACTTGAGCAGAAGAACACCTTCACTGCCGCCAAGGCGACCAGGTAGCCGATGTACTCAAACACCTTGTGCTCTGGCACCTGCAGGCACACAGCTTTTGCCAGTGCACTAGCTGCAGCAAAACTCGTGTGCTGCCTGAGACAGAAGACATTGCAGGAGTCGGGACGTCACCTCAAAGGCCAACTCCCCATGGCGGGCAAAACACATCATGCTTCATATCTCATGAGCTTCTCGGAAATCAGCCTTTGCGCCACTTCCGTCGTTACACCGAACTGTGCCATCGGGACTTCTATCGCAGTCGACATTCATGGGCAAGCCTCCATGCGTGGACATGGTAAACCTAGCAAACTTCCAAAGATGGCTGTGCAGTGTGATCTTATTTATATATATATATATACATATATATATATATATATTATAGGTTGGTCAACGGAAAATGGGACACAACATGCGATAACGAGCCGATGCTTTCTGTTCAATTGCGCCATACCGAATTCCGGTCACCAACCGCAAGAACATTGTTTCTCGGACTTGATTTATGGTGTGCGAATGCGCAACCGCGTGCACCGTGATGGCTTGCATGTGCCCTTAGCGTACGGCCTGTGGGCATGCAGGGCAAGCGCGCGCGCATGCGTGTGCGCGTCCTTCTGTCCGCCCGTCCGTCCGCCGCCCGTCCGTGCGTCTATGTTTGTTCGTGCTTGTTTATGCTGCTTTTTGGGAGGGGCCTAAGATCCCTGTTCAGCATAGCTCACAAACCCCCCAAAAGATCCCCAAAGGTCCCCAGACATCCCTAAAGACAAACAGCCCCCGCCTCCCCAATCCTCAAAGATTATACAGATCCCCCCTAAAATCCACACTCATCCATTTACAGCTCTCCGACCTTTGCATCCCCAGCGCCTTGAACAAAATATTTTTGAACTGCCAGCGGTCGATGACCCACACGGTGCTACGCTCCTTGCCGCTCGATGGCTGCATTCGCCATCGAAAGCCCAGTCCCCGAGTTTGGATCGCCAAAGACATACCCCCGTAACCTCCAAATACCCACGTTTTGTTGTTTTTCTTGGGGGGGGGAGAAACCTGGGCTTCCATTGTAAATACCTCCTTTTTTTGTAGGGGGTCGACATCATACCCTACAAAAAGAGGGTATTTGGAGCAGGGTAGACTCCTGGGGCTGATTTTCGGGATGGTGAGGCCAGGTAGCTGGCAAAATCGTCGTCTCCTCTTCGTACTGAACCACTCCCGCGGGACTTCCAAAAACACTTTCTGGTAGAGAAATGGTCAAAGGAAAAGAGGAATGAAGCCGAGTGGATGAGCCACAGACTGAAGTTGGCGTCAGTCTACACAAGACTAACATCCAGAAGCATGGAACTTGGGAAAAAGGTTGACATCGAGGTCTCAACTCGCGTTTGAAGCTTGCAGGCTCTTCAAACGCCTTTCAATGGCGAAAAAGACACGCCAGCTTCCCAAATCTTTGAGTTTCTGGCCAGACACAACTTGCAGACTTTGGTCGTCTGTGACTTTACCAGTTGGCTGGACCCCGAGATGAGTTATCCCTCAGCTAACCCTTCCCATGTGAATACCCACTTGCAATTTTCATGACTACTCAGGTGACTCTTGGGTCGTTCTCTTTCAATTGAGAATTGATCCAGCTAAGGGGAACTCCTCTCACCAGTAAGATCTCCACATTAAGCCGGAGCTGACGTTGATCTGCATATCACTCCTCAAAACTGCAGCAAGCTTCAAGTGATTGATTTCCCTTTTGCTTTTTCTGAACCCATCCCCTTCAGGAGTCCCTAGTTTTTGCACTTTCCGAAAGTGTCAAACACGCAAGGTTTATACACATCATTTTGTGAACCCGGACCACGGCCGCTGATGAACTCTTGGCTCTTTCCCCAGTTCAAGTTAAACTGACAGCAACAAGTGGCTCAGCCACGGCCTTCTACCAGCCATGTAGCTGGTTTGTGCCCTCATTTTTCAACAGGCTGAATGCTGCATCCTATCGCCAAACCAGGAGTTTTGGCACGAGTCCAGAGCCAGCTCTCTCTACGTTTGATGCGGAGCTCTTCCGATTGAAATCCAGGTATCAAGTGAACAGCGATTGTTGCTCTTGTTTCTGCCAGTCAGCTCAACGAGCTGGACTTGCGTCAAGCCATTGCAAAGGCGGTATTGCGGAAACTGCAAACATCCACACTTCCTGCGGCACTGCGTTGGCACGGCGCTGAAGGAACGCAAATCAGCCAACGCCTTTGGTTAGGCGGCAGTCCACTGTTTGCTTCCGCAACAATCAGAAGTAGCATCTGAGTCCTGATCAAAACCCGGTATTAACATGGTCTACCCAGAACCATGTAAAGAATTAAGAAGGTGGAATTAGGATTGCCCCTTACTAACCTTCATCTACCCGGTTTTTGAGCACGTGTCTCATCTGCAGCTCCGAGGTTGCAGCCCTGCCGTTGGCACTTGCGGAGTCAGCGCTGGCAATGCCCCCCGAGAGAAACCAGCCCGACTGGACATCGATTCGGGGCGCAAACATCTGCCAGAAAACAAAGACAAGCTTGCCTCGCATCTACTACATGGTATGCCTCACATGGCCAGCTAATGCTCCTTCAAGTATCACTTAAGATCTCCAAATTCCGTCACCGCTTGACTACAGCATGTTGTGCTCCACAAACACCCCCGACTGGCCACAACAGTTGCCTGAAAGCGAGAGGCCAGGGGAGTGCAAGCGCGCCAGTTGGGGCGAACATCACCAACTTGGGAACACGATGGCATCGTAGCGCCGTGCAAATGCTGTGACTTGCAAGCTCCCAACAATCCGCTAGCTTTGACTGGCACGAATCGTCCACAAGTGGCACATCAGCAAACAGCATTCGAACAGCTAAAGGTGGCAGCACTGCGCACAAGAAATGGGTGATTAAGTGGATCGCATCAGAATCCTGATGCTAATTTGGCAAGCTCTCTGAAAGCCACAGGAGCTCCATTGCAGCTTGGTTTATGAGCGGAAACATGATTCGGGACGCATGTCAAGTCGAACGTGTCCATCGCCCCACAGCGCAATCCCATACAGGGCGCAATCAAGCAACCAAAACCAAAGGCAGCAATTTCCGTCTGGACTTACGCCCCAAGATTTGACTCAAAACGGCATGTCAACGTCCGGGTTTCCAGAAGCACTCAACCCAATAGGCTTGGATCAATACGGGAGAAACTAACCCTGGCCAGCATGCGCATGGGAACGGGATGAGCCATGTTTTGCGGAATCCTAAACCTGGGCAGGATGCGGAGTATTGCACAAAGTGGCCGGGAAGAAACCGAAACAAGCGCAATGGAAGCGCAAACCCCTCCAAGCTTGAACAGGCAGTGGGCGGAATCACACCCTTGCACAACGAATGCAACCCTCAGTGAGAAGGCCAACTTGGCCTTTCTGCCCTGCCCGAAACGTCGACATGACGATGTCAAGCTGATGCCGCTGGCGAGAAACTGCACAAAAATGGTCGTATACCGGGCTAATGAACATTTCGGTCTGCCTGGCGTCGGCGCACTTTGGGTGTGTCGCACATCGCAACTCAAGCTGGGATCTTGACATTGCCCCTCTGCGAATGACCAACGACCTACTGGTCAGTATCATGGCGATCTGAGACCCGCCGCTCGGGCAAGCGCCACCCCCACAAAGCTCTCACCCGGCAGCTTGCCTGAGGAGAAGCTAGAGCAATCGAAGCGTGGCCCGGGCACGAAATGATTCGCAGTGCTGAGAACTGTTACTACTTTGAACGTCGAGCTACAAAACAAAATCCTTGATGGGCTCCTGCAATATGCTCAGCTTGACGCATGAATTGACCACTGCCGTAGGCCGGTTTGAGGGACATATTCGCCATGAAACAACCAAGCTTCACGAAAGCTCTTTAAAGCTGGTTTGCTCCGGGGGCCCATTGGCTTGGGACAGGTTTGCACGCTGGTGGCTTTGGACTTTGCCGGCCTTTGCTTGAGGCACACGGCCTGGTCACGGATTAGTCTGGTTTGATTGGCGGGGTTGTTGCTATGGTGAGCCGACACTCACGGATCAGACCTGCCGGCCACAATTCCATGTTCAGCATCACCCTTGGAGGAGTGCAGCTAAAAGCTGCGCAAAGGCAAAGAACAAATGGCATCAGTGCGTCAGCCGCCACTATGCAGCTCCACGCACATCCACGCTTGGGCGCGCGCAAGCCCTCAGGGAAAACAAGGTGAAGTTGGTGACGGGACAGCAATCTGGACTTCAGGCGGAAACATTGCTTCCGGCCACCTTGGTGTTTTTGTTGCGTTTCACACATCCTCGCCGATCTTCGAGGTTCCTTTGGTGCGGCTCCCGCGCGCAAAACATAGTACCTACTGTACAGGTAAACGGAACGACACCCACTTTGCGGTGGGGGTCGCAGAATTTGACAAAGGAAGGTTTGTGAGAGGAGAGGATCTCCGGCAGATTGTTCACGGGGGTTGGTGCTTGCAAGATGACAAGACCCAGCTTTGTCGAAACACTCTGATCAGGGGCTGCCTAAGAAGATGGCTTCGCTGCGGCCTGGCAGCCCCAGCTGACTTTCGGGGCAGATCTGCTGGCCTGTCAGCTGCAAAGCCTTGCTGTGCTGGCAGGTCTCTGGCAGTTCGCCCCAGGCACTGGCACTTGTCGCCTATGGAATTCGCACACCGGCGGTAAGCTTGGGCTCTCGTGGAAGGACAAGAATGTTCTGCGGCGCTTTGCGCCACTACGGGGAATCCGCAGACTCGTGCGGCCAAGTGCTTCGGCAGGGTTCTGCCCAGCTTTGCCCTTGCGCGCGCATGCGCTCTGAAACAGCAAATCAAACTCTGCGCTCATCGATTTGTGAGCCATATCATCCTTGGGTGAGTCGTCCACCCCACAGCACCCCCTTATACTGGCTTTACGCATGGAAATTGTGAGGTTTCTGCACAAATAACCCGCGCAACAAGATTTGGCTGCCATGAGACCAGTGACAGTCTGGCAATCTTTGTGCGGTCACATTGCAAAAACGAGGCCTGCTCGAATTCGTGGGGCATCATGTCATCTGCGCTGCAAGCATGTCCAACGAGGACAGTCGGAAGACAGGCCAGCGACTTTGCAAGTTCACCCACCAGGATCAGTTCGATATTGCCAGCGCACGCAACTCCTCTCTCTGATCACACGTCATGTGAGCACGCGTGGAGTGTCTCTAATTCTGACTAAGCCAAAGGCCGCAAACATCTGTGCCTGGGCAACGGACATCTGCGAACTGGTGTCTCAACTACTTGGTTGATTCCAGGGCCCACGAGCAACGCATTCACATAACAATTCCTCTTAGCTTTCGTTCAAATGGTGTCCTACATAGCGAAACCGCCAAAGCGTTCCAAACCTCAAGACAGAGAGATCAAAGGGTCCATTGATTTTGAGTTCCTCTATATTTTGCTGGCCGGAGTAGTTTCGACTCTGTGCTGCCAAATAACTTGGGGCCCTGGGCCTGCCGAGTGCAGCTGCTTCTTCAAGCTGCTGCCATGCTGCTGGAGCGAGCCTTGTGGGGGGGGGAGGTACGGCGAGCCGCGGGGGTCGAGTCGATGGCGATCGTCGCGTCCTTGGCGGCCACGGAGTGCTGATGCGGCCGCAGCTGAAGTAGCGGCAGCTCACCGAAGCAGTCCCCAGGCTTCAGCACCTTGGGGTTCAAAAGAGACCGGGGGAAGCACGGGGATTCAAGAAGACTTGGGGTTCAGAGAGAGCCTTGGGGTTCAGAAGACTTCCAAAGAGCATGGGTTCTTGAGAGGACTTGGGGAAGCATGAAGATTTCGGGCTTTCCCAAGCCTTGCTCTTGAGACCGGGACTGAGAATGAATTTAGGGCAAGGACTCCCAGGACCCCCATGTAGGTCTCCGCTTGGAGAGCATCCTCTCCCAAGGCCATGTGGCTTCGAAATTGAGACGATGGCCCGATGGTGGGGGTTTGAATGCCAGTGCCCGTTGGCAGGCTTAGCTCAGCGAATTCTAGATTTATCTTAAAGATCCAAGGCAAAAGGCGGGAAAACGTGCGAGCCAAACAACCATCTGGGTGAATTATAATTGTGGTGCCGCTATTCAGAAGCGGTCTTTCCCTCGACACAAAAACGGCTCCATTGTGCATGGTTTGATTGCCTATGCATGAACTCCTCTGGTTCACACTCCTCCCAGGTACAATCCGTTAGGCTTGCACCTGCGCTACCGGTTCTACCTCTCAGCTCAAGCCGTCCTCGATGTAGGTCATCACCCCGGGATCCTGGCGCACCCCCTCCTTCTGACTCCGGCGCATCGTCGGCACCGGTCGAAGGCATCCCACCTCCGTGTTGCCGCCAAAGTGGGGCGATTCAGGGAGTAATGGTACCTGACCCCGTAGTCTGTGGTGAGCACCGGCTTCCAGTCCCTCACGATGACGGGGGCCGAATGCTCCTCTTCTACGTCTTGCATCCGGAGCTCCTGTGCGAAGCACCATGTGCAGACATACCTTGCCTCTGCTCGACTTCCGGCGCACTCTCTGGTGTGGTGTGCGATCCTGTCCTTCTTATTGAAGAACAGCTCTTCGTCCGGAATATCCCACCTTTCGTTGTGCACCTCTTCCTCGATCTGGACCAGTTGCCGCTCTTGATCATCTGCTGGCGGTTGGTCCTCCCTCCTCCAAGGTGGAGTGGGGTGCCTCCTCGCATAATCTCTCCTCCATGGTGCATTGACGATCGGCTTCCCTTTTCCTTTTCCAGAGCCGATTCCACCCTTTCCTTTCTCCAACGGCCTCCTCATGGCCTCTGGTGCTGCTTTTGATCTAGCACCCAATGCTTCCGACCCTCCGCCACCTCCGGTAGTAGTGGATCTCCTCCTTGTAGTTGATGCCGATGCTCTCGACGACGATGAAGCCTCTTCTTCCGACTCCTCTTCGTCGTCACCCGCCGGCATCTTGTTGTGTCCACGCATCGCCCTTATAGACGCATGTTCCCCTCTGCTTCTCTTCTCGCATGCCTCTTTCACCATCGCCGCCACCTTGATTGCCAGAGCCGTGAAGAGGGCCACCAGGATGCCGAAGCCGACCAGGGCGTTGTAGTCTCCCTGATCTTCTTCCTCGACTTTCTCCTCTTTCGCCGCCACTGCCTGGACTTGCATGCAGCATGCCAAAATGGCCAACGCTGCCTTTCCTTTTTCCAGGTCCACCTCCAGGGCTCCTCCTTCTTCTGGCTTTGGTGCTGCAATCTCCACCAAACCTGCCATCTTGCGCAGATCACGTAGGCGAGTTCCCGGCAGAATGTCGGCGACCAGATTGGCGCCCATCCGATGCACTATCCGCCAGTCCCCCATCTGCACTCTCCATCTCACATAGAACGTTCTCAGACAAAGATGACGCGTCCGCCACGATCCAGCATCTCCTGTGCGCAGCAAGACCGCCGCTTGGTTGTCCCAATCAACGTCCGCGAATAGTCCATCTCCGTCTTGATCTCCTGGATCAACGCGTCTACCGAGTCCCCAAGAACCATTCCCTCTCTCATCTCCATCAGCTCGGACTCGGCTGTCGACAGCGTAGGGAAGCTCTGCCTCGAAGATCTCCACGCCAGCATTGATCCCTGCCATTTGACCATTACACAGCCATGGCTAATCTCGCCGCCCGGCGCGAAGCTCGCATCCGTGATCACCTCCAAGCCCGCTCCTCTACTCTTTCTTCCATCTGTGTCCTCCCCAATGTCCTTGTCCAGCAGGATGCCCTCCGTCTTGGTCGCGTTGAGGTACCGCAGTGTTTGGGTCGCGGTTCTCTGCACCCATCGTGGAGCCTTGGACACGAAGCTCGACATTCTCGACACCACGTAGGCCAGGTCAGGTCTGCTCCGGGTGACCAGCCAAATTAACTCGCCCACCAGGCGCTGACCCGTATCCCGATCTCTGCCTCTGGCTCGCTGCACTCCTTGCTCATGGGGATCACCGACTTGCCAGTGACATTGTTCCGATCGATGATCTCCTTGATGTAGTCCATCTGGTCCAAGGTGATCCCCTGCTCCGTCACAGAGATGTTCACCCCGCAGAACCTTACCGGCTCCTTGCCGAACCAGCTCTCCTCTGATGATTCCCACGTGCCCTTGATCTTCTCCATGAGGGCTTGAGGCACTCCTTCCACGCCTAACGGCATGAAGTCGTCCACGTAGATTAGTAGTAGGCCGACCAGCTCCTCCGGATTCAAGTCGTCCTCTACCTTCTTCACCAGCCACAGATTCGGTTCGCTCCTCATCTGTTCCAACTTCAGCCAACGCTTGCCATAGCTGATTCTCCACCTCCTCATCTCGTCGTCCCGGTAGTCCGACCAGCACCTCGGACTCTGCCGTAGGCCGTACATTGCCTTGTTGACGATCCACAGCTCCCCTTTCCCTTTGCGTATCAACCCCATCCGGACCAGTACTGCCGGCGGTCGCGTGGCCACCGTCCTGGTCAACTGCCTGCAGCGGGGCATTCAGGAAGGCTCCTTTCACGTCCACAGTGCCTCCTTGCCACCCGCGAACCGCCGCCTCCTTCAACGCCAACCGCAAAGCCACCACGTCCGTGCCTCCCGCGAAGAGCGGCATGGCCTCGTGAGACTCCCCGTAGTTGCCGCACACCACCAGTCGGCACTTACGCTTCCTTCCTGGTTTGATGGTGAACACCCCCTTCCCGGGTAGTACTTGCACCCGTGGGTTGTTCTCCAGCAGCTCCCTCGTCGATGCCGGGTTGAGCCTGGTGATTGCACCCTTTTCTTCCACAATGGTGTCCAGCTCCTTCTTCATGGGAGCTTTCCAATCCTCCAGGTTCATTTCCACCTCCTTGGCACTGACGATCTTGGTTTGGAGTATCTGCTCCTCGTCTTTTTCCACCTCTGTGCTGCTCCTCAACTCCTCTTCTTCCTTCTTCAAACCTTCTAGGGCTTTCACCACAATGTCCATCACCTCCGGCTCGTCGTTCGTCACCGCCTTCTCTTCCTCCTCTATTGTGGATCTGAGCGCCCGCAACCTCACCAGAACCCCTTCGTCTTCCAACACCTTCTTCTGGGTCTTATCTCTTATCCTCCTCCGGACACGATAGGGTTCCTCCGGCTCGCGCTCTTCTCCCTCATCACCTCTCCTTTCCACGAATTGCCACCCGTCCACTGGCTCCGGGAGAGGTTTCCAGTGGTGCAGCAACCTGGACTGTTCCATCCTCTCTCATCACGGCGTGACCGTTCGGTACGTCCACCACCGGGGCCAAATACTTCCCCTTGACGTGCCTTGGGCCCAGCTCCTCTGACTTCCACTTCCTTTTCTTCACCATCAGAATCTGGGTATCGTGCCCTCTTTTCTCTGCCTTGTTCTCTTATCCTTCTCCACCACATACCGAGCTGCAGCTGGCCACCACTGTCCATCCACCTCGGCTGCAAAGAGCACTCTCCTCATTCTTGACTTCAAGTGCTTGATGGCCACTTCTGCTCGCCCATTTGATCTCCAATCATCTGCCGCCGTACTCGTCTTCGCGATGTCCCGGTTGAAGCACCACCGGCGCAAGGCATGGTTCATGAACTCCTTGCCCCTGTCGCTATGCAATCGCGCCACTGGAAAACCTTGGCGCTTCAGTTCCAGATACATCGTCTGTATGGCGTCCAAAACTTCTTTGCCTCCTTTCGTCGAGAGAGGCACTGCCAGCGTGTGGATTTCAATCTCCAGCGGCTCCTCTCTCTTCTCCTCATCCTCTTCGTACTCGTCCAGGTCGCCTTCTTCCATCTCTCCATCTTCCTGTTCTCCAACCAACTCCTCCAGCTCGAAGTCCCAGATCCCTTCTGGGGGTTCTGGATCAGCCGGATCATGAGGGTCTCCTTCTTCCTTCTCTTCTTCTTGAGGCTCTTCCTCCTCCGGGCCCTCTAGCTGGAAGATCGTCCGCCCGGCCCATCGGCTCTCGTCCTCAAAGACCTTTTCCGTCTTTTCGGCATTCCTCCAATCGTCCATGAACATCTTCAACGGACCATCCTTAGTTGTCCGTGCTATCGTCCTCCTCCGTCCCCGTAGTCGCTCCACAGGCACCGGACATCCTGGGGCATCGTCAGGGAAGAACCTTACCTTCCGGTGGCTCTTGTGCACCCTGATCACGTACTTGCCGTTGGCGCTGGTGGTCCAGTAGTCCTCCGGTCGTTGCCCGGGTTGGTCCGGTTTCTTGACCTCCTCCAGGCCCTTCGCCTTGCCAGCTTCTCCACCTCCATCTCGTTCCTTCTCCGGGATCTCCTCAGACTTCAGCGGATTCTTCGGCCATGTGTACGCGCCCACAAGCATGTACTTGCAGCTCCCCGGCCAAATCCAACAAAAGGCAGTAGGCGTGCTTGTGCTTGATCCTCCTATGGGGTCGGTCTAGCCTCCTGACAAACTCGGCAGTCCCTCCTCATCGGGCAATGTCCTGCCGCGATGTGCTCTTGCCAACTCAGCTTCCGCAGCTTCACCACCTGCTTTCTGACCTGCGTCAGCATCGCTCTCGCCACTTCTCTCATGAGTCCTGGAGCCCACCTTGCGAGGTTCTTCGAGTCTCTGAGGTCTACCTCTTCCATCCGGGCTCTTGACACCAGCCCGGTCACCCTTCTCTCAGGCAGGTCGATGTAGAGGTTGGTCCCCAATGTCGTCGGCTTTTGTGCCGCTCCTCCGAAGTCCCCCTGGTAGAACTTGTACTCGGCCATGCCTTCCATCTCCTCAAATGCTTCCCACTGGGTCGTCCCCCGAAAGGTCGGGCATCCAGGCATGTACTTCCTGGGATCCGCCGGCTGCTCCAACACGAAGCCAACCTGTGGGCCTCCCTTCGCATTCCGCGCTTCTTCCGCCACCAGGTAGATGGCTAACATCCGCCGCATCATCACGTCGTCCTCCCAGACCGCCTTTTTCTCATGCGGCGTGAGGTCGCTCCTCCCAAACGGCTCTTCCGGTGACCTCACCGGTCGTGGACCACCGCCAGGTAGTGGATAATGTCGGAGCACACTCCTGGTCCGGCAATTCGGTCCACCCACCACCGCATCGAAGCGGGAATCCAACGTGCCCGGCAGCAGGGCTGCATAGAGTTCGTCCGACATCATGTCGTGCTCCGGCCCACGCTGCAAGTCAATCTCCAAGACGTCCATGTGGTCGCCTCCAAGCTCCTTCACCGCCCGTTCCAGGGTGTATCCTTCACGGGGTCCCGCGTATAGGTGCAGGATGGCTTTCCGGCCTTTCTGCTCCAAGGACCTTCTCCGTCTCCGATTCCATGGGATTGCCCGCAATGTTTCCGCCGGCTCCACCAGAACCTTCCTTTGCACCTCCTCCGGTAGGTCACGAAATGCAGGATGTGGTTCCACCACCTTTCTGACCGCTTCCCAGTCCAGGACCTTCTTTAGCTTTACTTCGCTAATCCGGCCCTTCCTTTTCTCTTTCCCCTTTTTCTCAAGCTCCTCGAGCAACTTCGTCGACGTCCGCTGGGTCACATAGGGGCATCCATCCTCCATGTGAATCCGCAAAGCTCCCAGCTCTGGATGTACCACGCGGCACTCATCCCCATCCCACGTCACCACGCAGTGCAACCTCTCCACCAGCAGACCCAACGGAATGATGGAGCCCACGCCCTCGTTCTCCTGGACGATGATGCCTCCCTCCGTGATCCGCATGACTTTCATCTCTCCTCCGGCCAGGGCAACATCGATCTCGTCCAGATTCTCGATGTCTTCACCTTCTTGCCGGGCACGTAGAGGATGCATAGCTCCCGAGTCCAGTAGCCCACCATGAGCGTTTACTTGGGCCCTTTTGAGAGACCCAGATCTCAACCCATTCAACTGTTTCTGCAGGTCGTCCAAGCGGTCGTTTCTCTCGTCCACCTTCTTGACTCCCTGCGAGGCGTTGAGGCTCCGTAGCATCTTTGCTGCTTCCTGCAACACCCCACCCATAGATTCGTCTTTCCTCGAATCTTCCACCACCGTTTCCTTCTCCCGGGTCGGCGAGGGTGCCGAAGCCGGTGTCGTCGCCACGTCGTTTTCCTGGGCCACCCTTCTCACAGCCGCCGGCTTCTCAGGTGATGTCGGCTTCTGCTTTCTGGGGCAGTCTTTCCTCATGTGTTCCACTGATCCACACTCCCAGCAGCGTCCTCTTGCGGTCTCATCCGTGGGATGCTGCCACTCACAACTCCGGCCCTTTCTGCAGCCGGTGTCCTTCATGTAGAACCTGCAAACTAGGTCTCTACGTCCCGTCCCCTGCTCCTTCTCTGTCTCGACCTTCCGGATCTTGGCGTCCCCGGGTTTTGTCACCTTTCTCTCACCCCCCTGGTTGCTCTGTTCCAGTTCGGCCAAGACATGCTCCGCGAACTGCTGCACCGTTCCATGCGTCGGCACGCTGTCCACCCGCAGCGTGTTCCGGGCAAGGGAAATCCGGAACGTCAGCTCCCGGTTCGTCTCCACCACGTTCCGAATCATCTTGCTGAGGCCCCTCATCATCACCGTGGGGTCTGGCAACGCCAAGTTCATCTCGCTTGCCCGCCGCCTCCACCTCAGTCACTTTCTCAAACTCTTGAGCGCCTGCGGGATCGTAGCAGCTTCCACCGGCTCCTCCAACGCCCGTAGGACCACTCCTTTTTCTCCAAGGCCTCCTGGTTGATACACTACCAGAAGCCTACAGATCGCCCCGTAGGCCGACACCGTATGCGTGGCGATCATCTCGTCTCTCACTGTCTCCGGAACCGCCTGGATGATGAGCGAAGCTGCCCGCCTTTCCAACCGACTCCCTTTCCGTACCCCCAACACCTCAGGCGTCTTGGGCACCATGTTGACCCTATTCAGCGGGATCTCCTTCATGTACTCCTCGTACCACTCGCGGGCCTCCTTTAAGAGTAGGTCCCACCATTCCATCGAGCTGTCACTCAGGTCCGACATCAGGGGATGGATGATGGTGAACCAGTCCCCTAAATCTATCGGACCATTCTCTGGGCTAAACTCGCCCAGGCGTGGCAACTCCGCGAAGCCCGCCTTGACCGTCTCGATGGTCTCCTTCTTCTCCTTCTGCTCCAAGAGCTGCTTCTGCATCATCTGCATGCCCTCCATGAGCTTCAGCATTACGTCCATTTGGTGGCCATCCTTTCCGGATCCAGCCACATCACTTGCCCTTTCCGAGGCACCGCCATCCTGCTCATCCCGAGCATTTCCTTTTTCACCACCAGCTCCAAGTCCGCCTTCTCCGCCCTTGCCATTCGAGTGGTCGCGGGTCGGGCCGTAGGGCTCGTGGTTCTGATTGTCCCTGACCTTGCTCATGCCGTTCACCTTTTCCCGGCTCTCCGGCGTGCCGTAGTCAGCGTCCGTCTCCTTTCCTTGTTTCTTCAGCACTTCCACCTCATACTGAAGCCTCTGCCTCTGATTCCGCGTCATCAGCTCCTGCATCATTTGCATGAGGTAGACCGGGTCCACTCCCGGTGCCGATGGTGTCGTCCTCGTATCCTGAGACGCCGCCATCATCTTCATCATCTGGCCCTCCGGCTCCGGATTCTCCATGGGTAGGTACCTCGGTCGAAGTTGGCCACCACCCGGGTGTCTCCCTCCAGGTTACTCTCCACGGGCAAGTGCGCCGGCCTCGGTTGGTCCATCCGCGGTCCCCTCAGCAACGGTGCTTTCTCGTCCCACTTGTTGAACTCCCTAATCTGCTCCGGGGTGAACAGAGGCTTCATGGCTTCTGGCTCTCCTTCCGGTCCATTTGGCCACCTGCGTGGAGGCTCCGGATCGAGTTCCTCCTCGCCCTGGCCTGGCTTGAGCGGTGTTGCCGTGAGCTCAAGCGGCCTCACCACCTCCACCATCCTCCTCGGAGGCCTTCTGCCTCCAGCATAGGGCACCATTTCCTGCCCTATGATCTCCAGGCTCTCCACCTCCGGTTCTTCTCCATCGGCAGAATCGAGCCTTTCTCGAGGTTCTCCACTTCCTGATGCCCTTGTCGGTTCCATTGCCGAGCGAGGGCCCCTGTTTTAGGGGTTTGGGCTCATAACTTGTGGTGCCGCTATTCAGAAGCGGTCTTTTCCTCGACACAAAAACGGCTCCATTGTGCATGGTTTGATTGCCTATACATGAACTCCTATGGTTCACAATAATATTTCACCAGCCTGAAATAAGGTGGTTGGAGGGATATTTCCCACACAAACCACCATTTGGGGTGAGGTCGCGTGAGGTCGTTATAATTCACCCAGAACCATGGCGTTAAAACCGGCACGCCTGAGCATCCAACACCTAATCTCACTTGCATCCTGGCGAGAATCCCATCACTGCGACTTTGGGAATATGTGGCTTCATGGCATAGCTATCGAAACGCGATATGATTCTGGTGTCTCCGCTGATCTGACGTGTGTAAAATGAAGGGGTGCTCGTGAAGTAAACTCTGCCCTACATCCAGGGACCCTCGGGGCCAACACTACAACTGTGAGGGTGGTGAAAGCAACGTCATTTCACTGGGTCTCCAAGAATGGGTCCCAGAATTCAAGTCCATCTAACAAACTAGTCCAGTGATCTCGTGAGTTCGAAAACTCCTGAGGGGATGCTATGTTTCGCACTTCTCAGGTGCCATGGGAATAAGGAATGCCCTCCAGCCTTATCACCCATGAGCCGCACACTCTTTCTTTTTTGTTGTCATGACATGGGGCTACGTCTTCCGAAAGAGGTACATGCTTCTTGGGGTCCTTCCAAAAAAGCCAATGGAACCCAATGAGGCATCCAAGATGAGATCTCGGAGGGGAACAATTGGGCGGCTTTTTGTTTCCCTTTCCCACGCCTCCATTTTCTTTTGGGGCCGGGGGGGGGGGTTGCCCCTTTGGGAGGACATCGGACATGGGGCAGCGTGATCCTAACAAGGTACCTGCTTTGGGTTCCTTTTTTTGGGGGGGAAAGCCAATGGAAGCCAATGAGCGCGCCTCCTTGGGGATGCCCCCCTCCTGCAAGGCAAAGCTCCCCGCCTGGCAAAGTCTCTGACTCGGACCCGAGGATCCAATGAACCTGGTCCCCACAGTGCTGTAGCTCACGTGTTTCCAATGGACATCCAATGGATTCAGGTTGGTGCCAAGTCTTGAATGACCCGAAGTCAAGACTTATGCCATGCCATAAGCATGATGGCCTTGCTAAAAACATATATTTCCGATTATCGCCAACCAGTGGCTCCCAACCGGCGTGTGAGTCATCCTTTGACCCCCTGCACGTGCGTATGAATTAACGGCCCATGGCTGTGGGCGCCTTAAAATGTGCGCTGGTTGCTCATGCTAGAGCTGTAAACACAGGTTGGCAAGTCCAAACATAAGGGATTCATATCAGGAGTCAATACATGACGATACGTGGGTGCGCACATTCAGAGTGAGAGCCAGGATTCTCACCAGCAATAGCTTGTGATCGAATCTGGGTCTTCCATGACCCAGGCAGGGCGAATCTTGTTGCGGCCAATGAACCTTGTAACCCTGTTGACAGGTTTATTCTCATTGTCCAACAAAAGGCATGCCTAGTGCAGATTCTACCGCTGGGAACTATGTATGTTGTCCTTCATTGACTGGAAGTTGCAGACCTCTTCATGAGCAGATCTTTGATATGTTTGACTGGTCAATTTTGCTTCTTAAACAACTGGCTCTTCGCACGGCTGAATTATGTCAGCGAACCAAACCATTCCCGCTTGCAATATGGTGACTTCCGAAGACAGCACTGTAGCTCATGTGGTGTTTGCTATTTGGCTCATGTTGCCGTTTAAATATTGACGCTTGAACAGCGGACATGCGTGATCGCGAATGGCCGCACGGGCGCCGGTGCACGCCTCTTAAGCATGCTGAAAGGCGTTGAAGCAAGCACATCAGCAAATGTCACGGCGAGGGATACGATGAGAAGACAGAAGAGGAACCACCATGTACCCAGCAAACCTGTTGGGTCAAGTGCCGCAGCATGAGCCGCAGTTGCCAAGAATGACTGCCGCCCAAGTTCTGGCTCTGACTGCTCTGCACTCTGCTGCAGTGCTATCTGTTCGAGGGTGATTCATTCGCCAACTTTGGAAGACGTTTGGCAAGCCTCCGTTAGGAGTTCTACCCCTTTTTGGCGCTCGCTTCTTTCCATGGTCCATAAGATAGGCACGTTCGAGCTGGCATTCAAACTCATTTGCCTCAGAATGCCAACGGACATGTCAGATCCAATAGCAAGCAACTCAGCAACAAACGCTGAAACTCGGCGGCTAGGAACCTGACAGTCCTGACCCGAGGGTCGAGGGAGCGAGCTGGACTTCGTCTACGGTTCTGTTAGGGTGCGTTGTCAGAGGCCTTTGTCTATTTATGACCGTCTCAAAATCCAACAGAAACGGACGCACCCTCGCCAATCACCGCATCTGCGGTTGGAATCTGCCTGGATGATGTAGAAGTAGTCTGCCATGTTGCCTTGAGTGATGACAGCCTCACATGCACGCCACCCGAAGAAGCCAAGAAAACTCAATGCAAAAGACGAAGCGGGCGGGGGAGGCCTGTTGACATTCGCAGGCCTCAAAGGACTCCTGAAAGCAACCTGGTTTCAGGGGATCAACACAACTCTTTTGAGCAGATCTCCTCCAAACTGATTTGAACAGATCTCATTCTGATTCCCTCTGTATCCTTACCTCGGCAAGCTTCAGGTCGGCCTATTCCCTTCGTATCCTTTACCCCCAGCTTCTTCCCTCGGCTTGGGCTTTCGGCCTGGCGGGCTTCCACGGTCTGCTTCCACATGAGATCCACCAGGGCCTCCGCTTGAGACTCCAGCAGCGACCCCGACTTCCTCATGGCTTCGCGAGTGACAGGGGCCAAGCCAAGGCAAACTCACAACAAGGACCCAAAAAGGGGGTAGCCCAAAAAGGGGATACCATACCTCCAAGCAAATGATGCTGTCTTGGGTGTCATGTTTATGTCAGGGAGTACATATGAAATAAGGAACATGGATCTGAGAATACATCAGGGTTTCTGTGCTTAACTTCTATTTAACAAAAAGGCTCAATGCACACACCTGCAACAAACTAATAATTATGGGGGCTGGGGGGAGGGAGAGGAGGGGGAGGGAACCCAAAGAAGCCCTTAATAAGGGCTAAACAAGGGTTTTTTGGGGCTCCCTCCCCCTCCCCTCCCTCCCCCCCAGCCCCCATGAAATATTGATCATCCCCTCTTGCGCCACAGCATCTTCACGGAGCACGTCCTTCGGGGATTCAAGCAGCCATGCATCACTGCTTCGTGGGAGGATGAAGAGGCAAACAACAAATGGAGCAACAAAAACCAAGGATTCAGTCTGGCAATGATCGCCGGGAAGCTTCATTCTGCCAAATGGGGGGGGGGTTGTCACTGGTCTCTATTTTTTCGTGCCTGTGGCACTGGGTTCATATGAATTCGCCTATCTCATAGCGGGTCCAAACGCGGGTGGCAGAGTCTTGACAACCACATGCCCATCCCCACCAAGTGTCCCTCCCAGGGTGGAGCTCTCTTGGAGGGCCGACAGCATGAGCTGGCGCTCCGACTCCGTCTTTTCCTGATTTTTTCGGCCCGAAGAGCTCCGGCCAGGAAGCTAACAGCTGGGTTGCTGGGTTGCTGGGTTGCTCTTTGAACGCTAAAAGTAAGGGCTGGTTTCTGAAACAAACAATTTCCAATTTAAAAGCCGAAGCCAAGAACACAACTAGTGCAACATCGGCCCTAGGCGCCTTCACGTGGCTCCTGGGACCGCTGTGGCTCACATGATGATTTCGAGTTATTGCAGTTCGCACTCTTTGAGACTCTGCCACATGTACGGCATTCATCACCATTTCATGTTGGCAAGTAACGCTTCAATCACCTGAAAGATTGAAAGCAACATGCCCAAACAACATCATCTTCATGGGCAAGGTCAGTGTACGCCCAGGTTGCTATTTCGTGCAGGAACTTTCACTCTTCGACCAAAACAGCGCCTGCTTGCGCTTGGACTAATTGGAAGAACTCTCATCTAGCTTTGTAGTTTCATGTAGCCCAAAAAGGCCAGCAACACAAGTGACCTGGGCCACCAAACGTTGGCAAAACCAGGCAGCCAGAAGGTCGTCAGGTCTGCGTTGGGTGAGAAACTCATTGGCACAACCAACTCGCATTGAAGCACTGAGGCTCCCTGTTGGCTTGGCAGGCCACACAAACAAGTCGCCAATCTGCAAAGAGGAAGCTCAAGCTTCAGTCGCCTTGTCATATGCAATCAACATTGGCCTCGCACGTGGTTGACCTTGTCATCCTGAACCGAAGAATGAAGATTCACAAGCAAATTTCAAGCAGGGCGCTGCAGTCTTTGTAGGTGGCACAACATAAAGAAAGACATTGGATTTCGGCAATACCAAACAACATAGTTCAGCAGCTGTTTCAGACTTGCAAACGAGGCTACTCGTTTCATTGGGCAAAGTCATGCTCGGAAGTTGATATTGATATTCCAGATTCTGAAGTTGATCTTCACTGCTATCTGCCAACGTACTTGCAAGAGGTTGGCCATTGAGAAACTTGTCTTCCTTGTTGTTCTTAGTTGATTCAAGAGGACACTCCCGCCCCCAAAAAAGAGGAAACACGGATGAAGCTCGGAATTCACAAAGTGGTCATATTTTTTCCGACACCTGAATTGAGAACCGCCCAAATGAATCTGCTTCCTGGACGAGATCCGGCCCGAAGAAGGGTTGCCTTGTTGATGCCGGGCCCTTTCTCTGGGGGAACCACAAGGACACCGAAAACTTCCATACATATTTCCAGTAGAGATAGGTTCCCTTTAAAACCAACAGGGGAAAATAATAATAATAGAAATAATAATAATAGTAATAATAATAATAGTAATAATAATAATAAACTTTAAGCAAATAGAAGAAACATAACTGGAAACCCATCCGGGTCCAACCGCAAGCCTAGGCACTGAAGGAGGCTTTGCCTCGATCGTAGCAACGCCTTGCTGCCACAAAGAGTTGCAAACGTGCGTGAAACCGCGCTGGACAAAGGTGAGTGCAAGTGCGGCACTGTTGGGCAAGGCTCCAAACAAGGAGGCGCATCCAACAAATCACCTGTTTCGAAAAGGGGCGTCGCTGTGTGGACAAGTTGCTGGTTTCAGGTCCACCCGCCTACGATGGTATACCCTCCAGTCACACAGCGACATCCCCACGCCTGATATTTCTCCTGATATTGGCTTAGCTTGTTCGCGAGACAGGGTGGCAACGGAGAAACCTTCACAAGTAAGGCTGTTGATTGAGTCCTCTTCAGGGCGCTATACTTCGTGCAGTTCTAGTAGAATCTCAAACCCAAGTTTTCAGAATTCGTAGACACTTCAGCAGAAGGCGGCCCAGTTCCGGTTTGTGTCTGGCTTTCAGAGTTGCGAGTTGCGCTGAATAATCAAAGGGGGACATGGGCTTGCTGCAGCAAGGAAAGTATTGTGGGAAATCACCGCCGCGCTGCCAGTTTGGCCCCACCGGTTCAGAGACCACGCGACGCACCTCAGCATGTACGCGTTCAAACATGTAAGAAGCAACCCTCTTGGGTGGCTGATGGGGAAGGCTTACTGTACTACCCGCAGGTCAAACACTATGATGCTTTCGAGTGGTCCCACATATTGTGAATCGATTTGCAACAGTATCTGAAAAAGTCACACCAACTGCAGCCAGTGATTTTCCCGATGGGGATTCATAGGGGCAGACTGCATTTGGGGGAACCGATGTGACAAAGTTGCAATCAGACAGTCGGAAAAAAAAGCAACAACCAAAAAACAGCCCTAACAACCGAATTACGTAGAAGCGGTGTTGCTATAAGAAGGAGTTCATGTCTGTGTGTGTTTCAGACTCCATGCTAATTAGGGGGGATTAACGAGGCCAAAAGCCGCCCACCCAGGTACCACAAGGGCAAGAATCAAACCAGGGTTGTTGGGCGCTTTACATCCAAGCTAAGCCATGGTAGGAGAAGAACCTTAGTTCTCAGCTAATTCCTCATATGGCTGTGAGTTCATACAGACTCACCTCAAAAGTGGTTGGTGGACATGCCGCAGCTACATGATGTCCACAAGCGGGTCCCTAGTGGAACTTGTTGGTGCTAAGCAGGGAATGTGAAATGGAATGACCCCGAGATCAACCATCCAACTGGTGGTTTCCTTCCTTTAAGGGAATCCCCGAACAGTTCATTCCCTTTCTCCTTCCCTAGCTATCGCACCGATCTCAAGTGAACTTAAGAGAGACCCACCTAAGAAGTGGTTGCTGGCCTATCTAAATGATGTCCACCAGCGGGTCTCTGGTTGAAATGGCAATGGGTCAAAATCCAAATCGTACCCCCAGTGAACATCCCAATCCCCACTAAAATAGGTTCTAAAATGGGTGGTGAATTCACCTACCAACCAAAATGAGATCTCAAAACGGTTTTGACAACCACAGCCAAATGGGTACGGGTCAAACTTAAACCAGAGCACCACAGGTTTTAGTCCATGCTTCCATATACAATGGTTTCATTTTGGGGTTGCCCTATTTTTTGACAACCCGCTGAAATGAATCTTTCCCAATCCCCACAAGAAAAAAACTAAAAGGGGTGGTGAATTCACCTACCAACCAAAATGGTACCATTGGTGTTGACCCACGACCATATAGCCAAAACGGTGTTGATCACCACAGCCAAATGAATCTTTCCCTCCGATTTCCCCCCGCGCCTGTCTTCCGGTCCGCGAACTTCACGTAGTCCTCGAGCCGCAGCTCCGCGAACTTCTCGCGGTTCAGGGACAGGAGGCACACCGCCTCGCTGGGCTTTCGGCTTACACCGACTCGGAAAACCGAACGCAGCTGGGCGTCTTCTTTTTTCGAGGCTACTTTTGTTGCGTGGCTTTGAAAAAGGGAAAACTACAGGATAGCCATCTTTCAGTTGCTGTTTGAAGGATATATTTGGTGGACTTGAAGGAAACCAAGGGAATGGCACGGCCATTGTGAGGGGCCTCCCCATATCAAAGGGGGCATGTGAAGGTAAGGTGAAATTGAAGCCATGCGTCGACGTAATGGCGGACCACTTTGGGACCCGCTTGCGGGTGCCACGAAATCAGGCTTGTGGGGCGAATAGTTTTCACCCGGGGAAAGCTGGAACCCCAATCTTCTCCACTAAATTTGCATCCAGGTTCCTAACACGCAGCTCACCAGCATATGGGTTTCAGGGAATGAACTGTTTCAGGGATGCTGGGGCAAGACCTGAGCAAAAACTCAGTAGCTAAGATGACTGGGCAGTCATCAAATATTGCTTGAACAGGTTCCCCAAACACCCTTCCACGTCCATGCTCTTTTGAATAATTGTCTCATCTGACAGAGTCAACCTTGAAACCCAAAGCGATTCAGCCAGGGCTGAGAGGAATGGATCAACCGCCTCCCTTGGACATAATATCGCAAGCCCCCGTTCCAACTTCGGCAGCTTGCGTGGCGAGAGGACGCCACAAGAAGATTGAAGCACTGGTCTAGGTCCTCCAGTAGAGAGGTTAGAATAAGGGTACCAACTTTTTACGGTGGTCTATTTTAGTAGGGGACCCTCCCCAAAAAAGGGTAAAAGGGCACTACTGGGGGACCTAGTGGTATTGCTGGGAGTACATCCTGGACTGTGGGCTGGTTCTCTCCATATGCTCATCACGTAGAGCCTATCTTGCAACCCGATGTTTACGATGATGTAGATCCACACATAAAAAACGACCGACATACTTATATGTACAACATGATTACATACATGTATACGTATGATTATTATACAAATGTGCACATATTTTTATATGCCTGTCTATATGTCACAGGTATTACGTTGCACAAAACACGTGGACATGTCACACAACTTGGTTGCTCTTGACCCCTCTGCAAAAAGTTTAACTTTGTGTGGGTTTAGTGGGAAACCCAACTTGATGTCCCAAAAGGTTAAAGTCAGACCCAACCCAACGGTCAAGACAATTGGACCTGTGAAATGGGCACTCCCCTTTTTCCGCCGCGCCGTGGCTGCCACGATGGTGGCGCCCCGAACTTCGTCGAAGACCACCGAGCGCTCCCCGAAATAGTCCCCCGCCTGCGAGGGCCTTGGCCCTTTGAGTGCCGAGAGGTCACTTGCTAGGCCGAGAAATTGAGACATGGAACCCCGAGCAGAAGGACTAGTCGCTGATATGAGAAATGGAACCCTGGACTGAAGGAGTAGTTGCTGTGTGTCTGTGTCTTCAAATCAGATCTTCTGGTTCATTCCCCCGAACTTTCCCTGAACAGAAAGAACTGCATGCGAGGATATTGTGTGGACTTCCCTGTGAGGGGGGAAAAACCTTGGTTTCAGCATGTTTCAGCATCTATCGTTGAAACAACCTATTCGTGGCTGTACTTTGAATCTCGGTTTGTTGGTTCAATCGAGTTGCCGAAAGGTAGCAAATGGGAGCCAAACCCCAAGGGTTGTTTTAGGCGGACCCAGTTGCCCAGCAACCTGGTAGATCAGGGAACTTTGCGAGTGGCGAAAACGATGCCAAATTGCCACTACAGCCCCGACATCCACAGATCGGCGCGGCTATTGCCCTTTTGCGCGAAAAGTTCAAAAGAATGCTTGCCGCGAGTGAAATCTCATAGGGACCCTTTGGTGGACATCAAAATTTGGTGGGGATTTCATGTCCACCAACCACTTTTGAGGCACTTCCGACTCTTGAAATCCATATGGTCCAGCAAAACCCCCCCAGTGCTCACGTTCGGAATCGCAGGCCTTCAGGCTGGCGACCCGTTTTGGAGCTCTGCCATCCTGATTCAGGGCTTCGCCTTTCTCATCCGACGTGGAAGCACAGGGCTTCGTCTTAGATAGGTACGGAATGAACCCAGGAATTGGTCCCCTTAGAGGAAACCACAGGGGATGGTTTATGGGCATTTTCTCCTGGCCATCCCCCAAGAGTATCCCTAAGACTTGCGATCGGTGCGATAGGGAATGCCTCAACGAGTCATTCCGGGTGTTGGGATGAACCGTTTGATTCCCGAAGAAAGGACACTACAGGATGGTTTCTCCGGGGTCATTCCATTTCTCATTCCCTGCTGAGAACCGGCAAGTGGTCGAAAAATGGAGGCGGGACCTCATAGCGTGAGATGTGACTTGCTCATGTCCCATGTTAACCTAACACAGAAAAGATGGCCACCGCATGTCACACACGAATCCACAACTACGCCCACAAGAGGTGGCATGTACTGGAACAGGGCTTACCGTTTCACCCCGGAACGTAGAGCCCAGCTCACCATTTTTTTCTTTGCCATGGATCTCTTGACTTGGCCCTCACTCTCTTTTCTCCAATATCAATATCAATATCAAACTACACGTAAAGATCTCCATCATGATGATCTCTATCATCTTTGTCTCTCTCTCTCTCTCTCTCTCTCTCTCTCTCTCTCTCTTAGCATGCCCCCCTCTTCGTTGTTTTCTCAACCCAGTGCCACAACTTTGAATTCCAATATTGCCGTGTGTGCTGGGACGCTTCGCCCCGTCAAGGGTGTAGCGGGGAGTCACGCACATCCGAGGTCAGCTTCACAAAAGGTGGGACCGCCTTTTGGCCAGACATAGACACTTTGCAAGACTTGACTTGCTGCTGGTTTTGCAAACCTGGGCTGCCCTCAGATCCCCCACTAAAAGCTTAACTTCTAGTGGGTTAAATGGAAACTAACACTAAGCACTAAAAGGCTAAAAAGCTACGGGGATGGCTGGGAGCCACCAAGAAAAGAGTCCCCAAACTAAAAGCTTAGACAGTCCGGCTTTTTCTTTTTTCCGGGACCCTTCACAGGTCGAATTCGGAATTCGGCCGGCTCGCGAATCAGGAATTTGCGTCCTTGCTCACCAGGACCGTGACCTCCCCGGAGCGAATCAGGAAGAGTTCACTGCCCGGGTCCCCTTGCTTGATCACCTCACGAGCTGAGCGAAAAAAACATCCCCAGTGCCAGCCAGTGGTTCGATTCCTACCTGGTTTCATTGGGGATATATATTTCTTATATATGTACATATATATATATATATATATATATATGCATGTTGGTGTGAAAGTAGAACTAGGTCCTCCAGTAGAGAGGTTAGAATAAGGGTAACCTTTTTTCTGTAGTCTTTTTAGTGGGGAACCCTCCCCCAAAAAAGGTGAAAGGGGGGCACTACTGGGGGACCTAGACAACTTCAAGTCAAATGGTAAGAGGAGTTCTGCTGTGGGACTACAACTAGCCTCGGCCTGCCAGAGGAACCCCTGCTAATGGATCGCAGAGCCGCATTGAAGATGAACGTGGGATTGGATAAACGCCTGTGTCAAGGATTTGGGGCTCCAATCTCTGGGATTGGTTCGAGAGTTCAAAACACATAAACTGCACCTGATTGGGAAGGTCCCATGTTCGAGCCATCACAGCAATGAACACGAACCTGAACTATTCACAAGGTCTTGTGACTGGGCAAGTGAGAGTACACACTCAGAGTGTCTTGCACAAGGGCACAACATACACACACACACATGATGCGGCAACTGCAATGTTGAACAACTTACCGAGCCGTGTGTGCTTTGAGAACTTCCTTTCTGGCCGTTCTTTGCAACCGCCTTCACATCATACGACTCCAGGACGCCATGCTGGGGATCCAGCGGTTTGGCTCGGACGCAGGTTCAGCGTGTCCATGCTCAACACCAGAAGTGGATACATATCCTGCGTGGCACGATGGCTCCATTTCAGCTTCCCTCTGATTGGTGGTGGTTGGTGGCTTGGAGGTTAGGGGGTGGTTTTCCACGTAGCTTCTACCAGAACCAGCGGCTCACATCCCCAAGCAGCCAATCCCAAAGCACCAACTAAGGCTAACCGACATGGCAACCGATGCGGTTGCCAGTGTCCAGCAGGGTGGCCCCTTCAACAGGCCAGCCTTAGGCCTCATAAGCAAGCGAGCCCAGAGCTGCTCATGACTGGCTCCTGCTGTAAACGAAGTCTGCTGCCAAACAAGGATCCTCAAAACCACCCTTGCCACACAAGTCCTGCCCTTGAGCATGCTTCCCAATTTCTATGAGCCCCTCCAAAGGACGCATTTCCGCCTCTTTGCGCCTCAATGGCAGTTGCCAGTCGGAATAATTCGTCTCAGTCCTTGGGCAGCCGCTTGAAAAGGCCCACCTGGCACCATCCCCGCATGCTCTAGTGCTCGATTTCCCGAATTGTGACATGTGGCCATGGGTCAAAACCCCGCACCCCCAGTGAACATCCCAATCCCCACCAAAATGGACTAAAATGGGTGGTGCACCCACCCCAACATGGTACCATTGGTTTTGACCCACAGTCATGTAATGTTGAACCCGTATTAATCAACCCCACTTTACTAATAGGGGGGGTGTTTCCCTCCAAAAGTTGGCGGATTCTCCACTAAACACAGGGACACCCCCTATTCACAAACCGGGGTTGATTGATACGGGCTCAACATTGTCTCCTGTCGTGGGTTCATCTGGACCATCAGGGGACTGCACTCAAGAGTTGAGTCCTTAAGGGCGAACAACCTCGAGGGGCGAACAACCCCCTTTAGAGACACTGGGAGCAATGAAGTAGCTGCTCCCCAGCATCTTTGACTTGTGCTTGCTTCCCACTGTGCTGCACCAATGTGCGAAAAAAAGGGGCACTCCGCTCCAAAAAGACCTCTGAAAGTGAATGTGTCATCGTAGCTGCGTGTCTCTCCAAAAAATGATCCAACTCGCGCAGGAGTGCCAGTTGCGAGTCTTGAGTGAGGGCCCTTTCGTTGTTTTCTTCTCAAACAATCCAGCAGCCGGGCGCCTGTGATATGAAGGCCACATCCTGCTGGAAGAGCGCATTCTGCTCCGCTGCCTGCCTGCGCTCCTCGCAAGTTCAAATCCGGCGATCGGCTGGTCCAGGCCTTTCTAATTTCTCAGATGGCTAGTGGCCAGGGGAAAAAAGGGCACCCTTTTTCCGTTTGTTGCGTTTAAAGGGGAACCCTTACCCAAAAAAAGGAAAAAGGGCACCACTGGGCAACGGCGATTTCATGAAAATGCTAAGCCATGTCGGGGCACGGCAATAGTCAATAGTGACTCTTCTCCACAATCTGGGAACAACTGAAAGATGAGACACCCAGAGCATCATGGAAGTGGCATGAGGATGCACTCGCTTCGGATGTCTTGGAATGCGCTGTCCAACCACAAAGCAACTTGCCCTCACTATTGAGGGCTTCTGACACCACCATTTTTGTCCCTGGCATCATGTCTCAGCACAATACCCACCCAATCCAGTAACCAAACATATGAGAAAGCACTCCAACACAACATGAATCAAACGCAAGGGTGGTCCTGCAGTAGCCTTGGCTCCTTGTGCACATGGCAAACTTGTAAATGTGGTTCTCACGTCTGATGTCAGCAAATTTCATGGCTGTCATGGGCGTGCCTGGCCGCACTCAGCGTCGCATTGCACAAAACCTTTTCACTGCACGTGCTTCGACTGCCACTAGCCCACTTGCAATGGAGGGAACCGATTGGCTGCGAAGACAAGGTACTGACAGTCGGTATTTGGGGCAGTGTAACCATCCATGCTGCAAAGTTTGGCACGGACACTGAGCTTGGATTCTATGGCTTGAGGCCTGCCGGAGTAAAACGCACACACACACACACAAACGCAAACCCATATTTGCTGTTTGCCAGCTGATCCATGAACTTGGACAATAAACAGCTGGCACAAGGCTGTGAGCGCAAAAGTGCTCGTAGACTCGCTAGCCGGGCATACCAAAACTGGCAAGCGTGGAGCCTTGACTTGCGTGTTGCTTCAAGCCTTCAAGATCGAACAAGCGACCTATGTGGTAGAGTTGCGATCAGATCAAACTTGGCAATGCTCACAAACAGCTGAGTTGCCCAAGCAAAGCATCAACATGCTGCTGCTTTGATTGCACGGCCAAGCCCAGTTTTCCTCACTTTGCACGTTGCCCCCAAACAGAAGCCCCACCATGAGTGGTGTCCATTTGGCAAACCCCAAAAAGGGCATCCTCGGACAGAACACGCACCTAAGCCTGAACTTCGGAGCCGATGTGCGATCCCCTCCTGTGCTGGTGTTACCTTGTCTGCCCGGCGCTGGCAGAAACGGCGCCGACACATGGCAAGGCTCAAGTGGTGACAGGTGCCATTGGACAGAGATCTTCAAATGCCCAGAATGATGCTTACATTATACACCTGAACATTGCCTTGTAAATGGTGGTTTCCCTTTATTTTGGTGGAAAAAGCCATGCTTCAAATGGGCAACCTGTATCTTTTAAGGAGCACTGATGCAACTTTTTGATGTCTGACTTGAGACATTGATTTGTCCCCCCAATTCCACGTGCTGAGAAGCGTCTCTGCGCAAACTATCCGGAAAAGGAGATGTCACATGGTTCGGCTTGAGCTAAATGACCTTCAAGGTTGTGGGCAATTGCTGGCAAGCTCAAGATTGGCTCATTCCTTGTGGTATTTTGTAACCCAAGAAGCAGGGAGCTCCTTTTTGGATTGTTCAGGTCGAGAAAGCGACCATACTTAAACAGGGGCCACTTCGAGAGATACCCATACGCGTGGATTGGAATGACTTCAGCCAGTCTGGTCTTCACCTAACTTGCCTGAGTGGCTACTCGACTTGCTTGCTGACCCTGCGGGATTGGGTTCTGCCAAAGGCCTGTCCCAAGAGATGCCCCCCATTTCCATGGAACAACTGCCAAGAGTGATGAAACCTGGGAGCATCAACCAAAATCATCAGAATCAGGACCATGCTGCTCAACCTGCGAACCAGACTTCCGGGCTGGGCTGCGTGAGGTTCTACGTGGGTTTGACGTGGTCTATACATGAAGTCGACTGGTGGTGGATTGAAAACTGGTTGACTGCACCAGTCGAACGTGCTCTCTCCAAGGAATAAACAAGTCTATAGACTATAGATGTAACAACACAGCTGCGAAAGTCATGCTGTGAGTGTCCAGTTGGTGCTCACTACTCCTTAGAACAACCTACGATGATTGCAGCTCAATGCACTTGGACACATAGCGTGTCTTGTCTTGACCGTGGCACACATGTTGACATGCTGGGCCGACCTGTCAGCAGGGCGACTCGAGATGTCGAGATGTCGAGATGTCGAGATGTCGACTCGAGATGTCGACTCGTCGCAAGCGCTATTCCCATGCTACATCCCACGTCCATATCCTCAAGCAAATATCCAGAGCTAGGGAACTCAAGCTGCGTGCGTCTGGTATGTTTTCTTTGCTTTTCGGCACATTTTCGGGTTTGGCCGCTTTGCGGCCTGGGGCTACATACAGTACAATGAATGCCTCGGGAGGCGAGGCTGGCTACTGCCAGCTCGCACATCGCACATTCTACAAATGAACGTGTCCGAGGTTAGGCTTTCAGCACAGCTTTGCGCAAGGGTCTGGGCGGGACTTTGCCAATTCCCAACCCAACTCGTTAACGCCGGCAAGAAGCGTGGCCGAAGGGAAAGCACAGTGCATGGTATCGCCGAGCGAGCTTTCTCACAGGAGTCTCTGTCAAATGATCATGGTGAAAAGAGCAGAACATCCATCCGTATCAACCCAAAAGCCATGGGCAACCAACCAACCGAAACCAGTCACAGGATGTCACAGGAATCCCGCCTGTCTCATGTACATTCTTCAGCAGCTAGCGTACCTTCAAATGGGTAAGCACTACCATACATTCAAAGGGCAACGTCCAACCCCGGAGTGAAGCAACATGAACAAATGACAAGGAAGGCGTCAGTCAAGCCAGCTTATTCTGAACAGCAAACCCCTTGCAAAGGACGTCGGACCCATTTGGGCCTTCTCCAGTCGCTTCAAGAGGCCATGGAAGAAAGTAACCTGCGGGAAATGTTCAACACCTGGATCTATTCCTATGGCCAGTACTCTATAACATACCTGGCACCCCGTATGGCCATGTTTTTTCCCGTCAAAAGCGGATGACATAAAAAACAACAACAGCCATACGGGGTCTCAGGTACACCAAATGAGCGACTAAACAACGGTTTCCAAAGGCAGGAAGGCTCGTCGATCATAAATGTGCCTCTCCAGCCTGCTCGTTCTCTTTCTTGAATTCCGAACCATGCTGGGCCTCCACTGGGGGACGCACCTGCTTGTTCTTTGTTCTGTTTTTTGAATTCCGAACCATGCTGAGCCTCCACTGAACACCAGGGGGACCCATTGTAAGGCTTCACGTTGATTTGGCGTTGGCAAACTTTATTCTTGGGCTGCCGCGAACCCAACCCTGCCAGTTGCCCAAAGAAAACGCAGACCCTGAGACCCTCTTGGCTTGCTCAGCTGATGGAAAAGCCTGCAGCGTACTTTCTCTTTCGCTGAAACAACGCAACCGAATCCATGAATGTAGCTGAGTTCGTTCTCGAACACAGACCTCGAGGTATGAAAAAAAACACGCACAGCCGTAAAACTTTCCGGAACTTGTGAAAATCCGGATTTTGACGCGAGGGCGTATGAACATTCACATACTGTACATCATAACACATATATATATATATATATATACATATAGTATATATATATATATGTATATATATATATATGTATGTATATATGTACATATATATATATACAATAAACATGTGTGCGCATGTATGTGCGCTGTTCTACGCCCTCCGAGGCTTTGAAAACGACTCGCTCACAAGGAGTCCTGCAGCCGGGGCGAGGATCGCGGCGATGCCTCGGAACATGTCTTGCTGAAGTTGGGCTCCGGCCGGGGAATGGCTCCCCTGCAAAACCAGCAAGAAGGGTCCCGGTTTTTTGGAATGGCGTGGTGAGAGAGGGTGGCACAAGAAAGGTCCCGTTTTTTGGGGGGAAACATACGAATTTATCAATTTGATTGCTTTCCGTGTCCCGGTTTTTTGGGAAACATACCAATTCATCAATTTAATTGCTTCCCCTGCAAAACCATCAAGAAGAATCCCGCAGTTGTTCAGTGACCGGGACCCTTTTCGGGGAAGACCATTTTTAGTGGGCCACCCAAAAAACTTGGAAAAATAATCGGTGCCACTGAACAACTGAGTTCCCTGCAAAACCAGCAAGGATAATTGTCCCGGTTTTTGGATAACGTGGTGAGAAAGGGTGTCGCAAGAAAGGTCCCGGTTTTTTGGAGACATACCAATTTGTGCATGGCGTCGCGCTGCACCTACATGTTTAGCATTCTCAAAGAACAACAAATTAAACAGCTAAACCAATGACGCAACCACATCGTTCTTGTTAGTTGAAAAGGTTGCGGGCATATCAGCAACAGACAATGCTGAACCGAGCACATCACAAGCACCACGCCTGGTTGCGAACTGGGCACCGCTTCCCTTTTTTCCGGCCCCCTTTTGAAAAACCACGCCTCAAAGGAAAAGACCAGGGGGGGATTCTTGCCACCCAACGGTTTTTGCCCCCGGATTTTCCGAGACGGGTTCACATGACAAGGGGGATTCTTGCCACGGGTTTTTTTCGAGACGGATTTTCCGAGACGTATTCACATGACCCCCACTCTCCCACGGCTGCCGCGAATCCAAGACGCTTCGCCGCGCTGCAGCTTCCGCTCCAAGCGCCTCGAAACCGGCTGGATCCGTCGCGGCTGGTTGGCTTCCTTTTGCAATGGACCCAAAGGACTACTTTGCTACTTTAACACAAGCCCTCACCTGACAAAACAGACACGCATATTCTGCCTACTTTTTGGACATCACTTAAGCAGCGTACAAAACCAAGCAGGAGAACCATGTGTCAAAAGTAAGGGTATCCCCAAACTTGTCAACTTTAGGTTTCCTTTAAAGACCAACCAAACATTTTCGTGCCCCCCCCCCCCCCCCCCACCCGGCCAAAAAACAAGGAGACCTCCCCTTGTTTAACTCAAAACGGGTCGCTCAAAACGCGAGCGCGCCCTTTGCGAACTCGACCTCAGCCAAGGGGCTGCTGGGATTCGGCCACGGAATCCACCAGCTCACGAAGCTTCACCTCGGCCCCAAGTCTTCCGGGCCGGCGTCGTGTTTCGCGTTGGTGCCTTTTTCTAGGGGGAAAGCCAAAGGGCGGGAGGCCAAAAGGACGCCCTCATTTTGGTCCAAGTTCCGATTCTCGCACACATTCTCGATCAAGTAGCGGCTGGTGAGGGGGGAAGCTGTTTCTTTTGGCGATTCCCTGCCAAAAAAAACAACACCCTTCCTGGTATTTCTGTAATTCCCCTCATGAAAGTGGCGGTTTTTCTCGAAGATTTCCGGGTGGTTCTCTTGAGCCTTCTGGGTGCTGAAGCTGGGGCTGTTCCAGACTGTTTGACTCAGTTCCCGAATCCAAAGGGCACGAGACAGGGAAAAAGACAGGGGGAGAGACAGGGGGAAGACAAACAAAAGGGGAGAGAGAGGGAGACAATCTAGAGATGAGACATATTTTTCACTTGTAACGACAGCCATTGCCGCCGTGAAACTCTTTGCTGCCGATGGGAATGGCCCTTAAAAGGCCTCGGTTGCTTTACTTTGTTCTACTGTACTTGGCATGCTTGCATGTGAGCAAGGAGCGCGCAAATGTGGGAATGCCCCAAGAAAGTTTTGTAGAGAAGGATAGATCCCTTGAACTTGGCGGGTAGACTGTGGGTACACTAGGATGGCATAGGTGAACGCTTGTGAATCCCCAAAGCGGTTGCGACTGTCTGCGAACCCATACATTAGGTAGCAACGGTTAGGAAGTGACGCCCACTTTTCCCAATCCAGTGGTCGGCTAGCCATTACTAAGGAATGGTCAAGCTCTTAACTTCCCTTTTCATAGGAACCCACAGCGGCTTGTCTCAAATCCTTGCTGAGAGTGGATAGACATCGCCAAAACAAACATATTGACCATCTCTGGTTAGAGGGAACAGGCACATTGCAGCGTTCCTGGGGGGAGGGGGGATTTACAAACAGGTGGCCCATTTTTGGGGCACCCCCCGAAAGTCAGCGCAACTTGTCACCGAGCTGGGTCCCGACGTGGGACCAGATCATGCTTCTGCTGCTTATCAACATATCAGAATGTGATTTCGCGTTCTGCCATCGACTCAGATGCCCAGTGGAATTCCATGGGCAAAAAAAGGATCGGCATCCTGTTTTGGTTGGTTGACTTTAAAGGGACACCCTTCCCAAAAACAAGTGGAAAGAAGGAAACAGAATCCACTGGTTGCAACTGGGTGGAACCGCAGCCAAGACCTAGCCCTGTAGTCATAGATTCCCTTTAAAACCAACAGGGGAAAATGAAACCTATTCTTAAGCAAACGGGAGCTGGCAGTGTGCACGGTCTCACCCATTTGGTCTGGTTGCATTCTGCTGCTTCAAGGCATAGAGGTCCACGGATCGCGCGGGGCCCCGCAGCTGCACACATCCTTGGCATCCCGAATGCGGGGAACAGCCGGTTCGATGCTGGGTGTAGGGGGAAATGCGGTTCTGCACCTTTCTTGGGGTCCCTGGATGGGCGCACACCTTCCAAGGGAGAACAGGAGAATCGTTTTTTAGATTGGCGCATGAACATAAATGGCAATGGGGAGCTGTTAAAACACCCGACATGCCCGGCAAGCGGCTTTGTGAAGGGAACTGGAGTTTAGGCGAAGTTGCGACCGTTTCGCATTGATTATGAAATCTCAGCTAGCAGCGCGCAATGATGCTTGCTTTCCAGTCGCGCTAAACCATCAAAACTCAAAATTTCCAACATCGCTGAGCGGTGTGGAATTTGCCAGCCTAAACTCATGTCCTAAACAGTGGGTCTTGACGTGGACAGCTTGCATTTGGGTATGTAGCAACATGGAGGGAACCCCAAGAAGTGTTTTCCTTTTGACTTGGCTGCGGCTCAAAAAACCGGAACCAAAATGGAACCCTGGTAAGTGGAAACATGGACCAAAACCTGCGGTTTGCCCCTCCTGTTCAATTTTGAGCCACACCCACTTCCCTTGCACCCACCCCCAAAAAAGGTACCTCCTTTCGCCCATTTGCTCTCCATAAACTCCTCCACGCTGATGACGTGGTCTCCGTCCACGTCAAGGCCTCACTTACAAGCGCACCGAACAGTTGATCACCGATTGAAGTCTGCGGTGAAAGTCGAACATATTCTTTGGGTCAAACAGGTTGTCCTTTTTTTGATTTGGGTCAAACAGGTTGTCCTTTTGTTCCTTTTGTTGATTTGGGTCAAACAGGTTGTCCTTTTGTTGATTTGGGTCAAACAGGTTCAAACAGGTTGTCCTTTTGTTGATTTGGGTCAAACAGGTTGTCCTTTTGTTGATTTGGTCAAACAGGTTGTCCTGTTGTTGATTTGGGTCAAACAGGTTCAAACAGGTTGTCCTTTTGTTGATTTGGGTCAAACAGGTTGTCCTTTTGTAGATTTGGGTCAAACAGGTTATCCTTTTGTTGATTTGGGTCAAACAGGTTGTCCTCTTGTTGATTTGGGTCAAACAGGTTGTCCTTTTGTTGATTTGGGTCAAACAGGTTCAATCAGGTTGTGATTTTGTTGATTTGGGTTAAACAGGGTGTCCCTTTGTTGATTTGGGTCAAACAGGTTGTCCTTTTGTTGATTTGGGTCAAACAGGTTGTCCTTTTGTTGACTTGGGTCAAACAGGTTCAAACAGGTTGTCCTTTTGTTGATTTGGGTCAAACAGGTTGTGCTTTTGTTGATTTGGTCAAACAGGTTGTCCTGTTGTTGATTTGGGTCAAACAGGTTCAATCAGGTTGTCCTTTTGTTGATTTGGGTCAAATAGGTTGTCCTTTTGTTGATTTGGGTCAAACAGGTTCAAACACTGTTCAAACAGGTTGTCCTTTTGTTGATTTGGGTCAAACAGGTGTCCTTTTGTAGATTTGGGTCAAACAGGTTGTCCTTTTGTTCATTTGGGTCAAACAGGTTGTCCTTTTGTTCATTTGGGTGACCACGACAACTTGAGGTATCCTCGTCAAAAAAAGTGGCCCCTGTGATCACAGCTTGGTCAAACAGGTCCATTTGTTGATTCTTTGGCCACAAGTTGGATGGTGACAAGGGTGCTCATTTGTTCAGACCATGGCTGACAGGGTACCTTAGGCAAAGGGTACTTGAATAAGCTCATCCCACCAAAACAAACACCAAAAGGTCAGTTTGGATAGTCCAAACCAACCCGGTAATTAAAAGGGACATGTCAAACTGCAACAAACAAAAACACACATTCTTTTGTTTTCTGGTCCACATTCATTGAACCTTCAAATGTAAAGCAAATTCCAAAGAGGTCCCAGTCTTGTGGTTGCTCCTCTGTTCAGGCAGCCGGAACAAGACTTGCTTGAAACTGGACGTAAATTAGTCAGCCTTCTAATTCGAACCTGGCCCCATCAAAGGTGAACTTAGGTTGCAGGGTGTATTTCCTGTTTTGTTCATCACTTTCCCAAAAGGAAACTCGCTTCAAAGTGGCAGAAGGCGATGCTAAAACCCACGTGAAACCGGTTTAGACCCCAGAAAGGTGGGATCTTGACGGCCGGGCTAAAGTGGTTCCGGAACCATGGGGGTGGGATGGGGTGTTGACGTTGCAAGGCGGAAAGGGGCATTTCTGCGGGGTAAGACCATTCCAGGCACCATGGCTGGGCCGCTCCAAGCCCCCCCCCCAACGAGCAAAAGGTCATCAGACCTTTCATAGCCATCCCAAAAAGCCAAATTTCTTTCCAGATGGAAGAACCTGTTTCCATTCCAAGCCAATTTCTTTCCTTACACATGCTATTTCTCCGGTTTCCTTCTGGTTTTGCGGACACCCGGGCTTCTCCTTTCGGGCGCATTTTTCTTCCGCCCAGTCGCCCGCTTGATCCCCGTCCGAGTGGCTCAGGAAAAGCGTCCAGGCGTCCACCGCGCCGATCTCCAGGGACTCGAAGAAGGCCTCGATGGCTCCGGACGCGGCTCGGCACGCGGGGCATCTGAAAAAATCGGACGCCCGCAAAGACGAAAGCGGAGCCATAAAAACCCATCCAGAAACATCCACAACTCATAAACCCATATCTGTGCTTTTCCTTTGTAACTTTGTTTTTGTTTGTTTTAACGCACATAAACTCATACGTGCATGAAATAATGCATGGCCAAACACAACCAAACAAACACATCTGCATACCAACACAGAAAATAGATACATTGATCAACCGACAATATGTATCCTCAGGCAACGCACCTATTTTGGGTTGGAGGCGCTTGAACATGTAACACGCGTAAACCACACCAATACCGCACGGTTTCAGAAGAACTAGACGAGCGTCAGCCTGCATGCATCTTTTTTCTCGCACTTTTCACATGCTCCCTCCTGTCCGTTCCTCGCCAACCTGCAAAGTGAGTGTCTTGCATATATATATATATATATGTTACAATATACTCCTCCTTCTCCCTCTGTATTTGTCTATATCCCTCTATCCTCCTTCTATTCGATCTTCTTTGCCCCCCTTCCCTTCCAGCCTTGACGGATTCATCATTGAAGTGCTCTTCCAAGTCCCCCAATGTGATCTTCCCCACGTTGTGCTTGTCGATCTTTCGAAACAAGTTGTGCACCAGGCTCTGGAACTCCTTCAAGAACCGGGGTGCAACGCCATAAAACCGTTTCCGGCCGAATTGCAACGACGTGCAAACCGATTCATGTCTTCCAGGTCTAACAAGCTCAGGTAGGCGACTGAGCGGCTATGGCATCTTCCTCATCAACCCCCGACCTAATAAATAATATATGAATGATTTTGCATCTTTTTTGCGAACCACACCCATGTCTGTAGTCTTCCCTCTGTCTACAACGGGCATCCAAAGGGTTGTCGGAGAATGGCGCCCTCGTCGAACAACGCTCCCAGTCGGAAGGATCTTCTCTGATCAGCTGAGCAATGAGCAAAACCCCATTTCTTTATCTTGAGAGAGCCCTGCTTTTCACCCAAGTCAGGTGTTGCTGAACTATGATTCACCAATCCGAACGATCTTTGTTGGGCGTCCGTTCACTTGCCGCTTCTATCATTCACATAGATTGTCGCGCGCATTGTCGAACGGTACGAATGGATTGCCTTAAGGCTCCAAAGCATGCGGGCAGAATTGATCCGAAACTTGAAGCTCCCAAAACCCAAAAAAATGATTCTGTACTCACGAAGCGTTTTGGGAAGTTCATAGACTTTAGTCACGTTTTGGGAAGACTGTTTTAGTTGGATGCAACAAGTTTGGGAGCTTGTCCAGCTACCCGAATGCCCGCTCTGAATGCCGATCCGTAGCGCTACCGTGCGAAAGTTGGCACGGTACTTTATCCCAGGCTGAGCCGATTCAACCAGGCGTTTCTGGCCACTTTGTTCAACCAACGACTGGCATATGAGGAATCCTGCAATTTCTCAAAGCTTGCAACAACCTTTTGTCTTGAAAGGGCACCAGTGCCTGAGTAGAAATACATTGCTCGAAATGGAACATCATGAATGCACTGCGACATCACCTGGTTGCGATGGATGATCAGCCAGGACCAATGGACGCAAACTAGGAAGCCTGAACCTCAGAAGCCCCACACCGGTGACCTGAGAATTGGACAACGGCGGCCTTTGAAGAGAAAGGGATCTGGGGGTGTCTTAAGACTCCAACAGGCAAAGACCCCGAAGTTGTCAGCTTTCGGGCCAGCAAATGAAAACACCAATTCGGTCGAAGCTGATCGGACCAGTCAAGCAACGACCGCGTTGCTTGAAACAACCGGGACTGCTTTTTACCGGGCCGCCCTCAGATCCCCCGCTAAAAGTGAATAACTTTTAGTGAGTTAAATTCGGAAACTACCACTAAACACTGAAACACTAAAAGGCAAAGGAACCGGATGGCTGGGAGCCACCAGGGGTTGGCTTTGCATGTCCCCTCAGCTTGCTGCAGTCGATCCCCCCCAGCCCACAGCACCGAATACTCATTCTCTTCTTTGTTTGCTGGGTCATAAGGAAAGCCAATAAAAGAAACAATATGAAAATAGGAAATGAAATCCTAAAGTGAAGACAGACAATGGAAAGAGATCCTGATGCACTATTTCCTTTATTATTTACCTTTTGCATCTTGGATAATTCTCTAGGTTAGACAGTATAATGAAAGACCAAGAGGAATGTGGTGAAAGGAACAGGATTCTACAGACTGGACTGGAAGCATCTCCTCGCTCTTATCTGTTTACCTTTCCAATCCTATTCCCTAAGCCATATATCTCCAGGAATTCATGTAACAGCTAATAACCAAGCCAAAGGCGAGGAAAGGTAACTAGAGGTGAAATGCTGTCTCCAAGCCATTCTTCACTCTGTGGCATGCTGTGGAATGAATGGTAATTAGCTGTTAAGAAAGCCACGATTAAAAGGATTCTAATTCCCACGGCCAAATATTAACCAAAATATAAGAAAATAAGATATTAATATGAAAAATACATGATTCTAAGCCTAACAACAAAGCCCAGCGCCACTTCTGAGGGCGATTCAACAAGCAAGTTACCCTCCCGTCCATTAACATGGAACCCACCAGAGGGTCCTTTTTGAAAGGAACAAAGTCTTCCTGGTTCATGGACAGGAGGGTACTATACCTGCCGAATCCCCTTATTCAGTCTCCATGTGTTCGAAGAGGTGACCCTGCATGATTTCCACCAACGACAATTGCCCGAAAAAGTGGAGTGCGACTTACCAAAACCTGTGACTGAACCTTCGTCTTATTTTGAGAAGCTGTCTGGCCACAGAGCTACATTTCATAACCACGAAATAAAGCCGAGCCCGTTTTATCCGGTGAGCTCGTTGTAATTGATCAGAACGGTTTCAAACGCTGGCCACAATTGTCCTGCTGGTTCTGCAACAGCGACTGTACGACCATATCGTGATCACGTTCAGCAGCTTTTATCGCGCTGTTGCAGAAGACACCTGTCCTTGTTTGCCGAATCCGTTCAAAAACACAAATGACCATCAACCTTCGCCGTCACACAAATACCACCCCCTCCAAGCAGGAATCAAGCTTGCCAATGCAGCAGCGGGTCATGACGTTCATCACGGCAAATGTGCCTGCGCTTGCGCAGCCCGGCAACATCAACAGGGATGCTCACAAGACCCTGTTCATCATGGACATTTGGCCTATAAAAACAAACCCACCAGAGTAGTTTGGCCATTCGGAGCAACCCTGAAGTTGAACATGCATTCCCCACAACGTCACTAAAGTCTGACCAGGGCTGGCAGGAAACAAAATTTCCCAGTCTTCTCGGGGCCACCCTTGGCTTTGCCTTATATGCCTGCAGCAAAGCGGCAGAAGGCCATGTAGAAATGAAACATCTGAGCCCAGAAGCTGTGCACACCGCCCAGAGCATCAGCGGCATCGTACCAGCTGAAACCGTTTAACAAAGATCTGAAGAGCGTCGTGCAGGAGCTGAAGATCGTCCCGAAGTACATCGCTAGCTTCTCGTCGCCAATGCTGGAGGTGCCGTCATACTGCAGGTGATCTAGCACCACATCCGTGAACAAGATGGAGAAGATGTAGACGATCAGCGCCAACAGCAGCATGGCCCAAACAAGGGACTTCGTCGTGTCCACCAGCGAATGCACCAGAGTCCGTAAGGCCTTGAACACCCGCACGACACGAACTACTCGAATCACCCGCAAGAGACGTCCCATTCGCAAGATCCGGATCAGCCGAAGGTTGCTGTTGGACGGACCTGGGCGCAGTCATGGGATAACCAAGTTTGGCATCTTCTTTTGAAGGACTGCCCCCCGCGAAAAAAAAGAAGAAAAAAGAACAAAAAAGAACCTCTTCATGAGTGAAAGCCGAGTTTTATTCTGCACTTTTTCATATCACATTCTTCACAACCTGCCGGCTCTTCCGCAGAGCTTCCGCGACATGCAGCATTGCTTCCGCCGGCTTACTTCGATTGTCTGCCACAGCCTTTCAGCTTGACAGCTCTCGTTGTTACTACAAGGGAACCATATAATCACTCTATGTGGGTTGAAAGGACCTCACAAGTGCTGCACGAAGCATCTCTACAACCTGATGGCCCAGTCTTTACTCTTTCACTCCGCATTCTCTACGCGGAAGCCTTTCACTTTGATACTCCCGGGTTGGCAGTTCCCCTAACGGCTTCGATGAAATTCATAACGTTTCTCTCAAGCCGCCAGCCTGGGAACCGTAGCAAGGATTGGTGTCCGCCCCTTGGGGCACCCTAAAACAAACGGAGTTGAACACCAGGCCTAGAGGATCCCCAAGCAAATCTCACCCACGAAACTCGAACACAAATTGGCAGCTCCCACGTGCCATCCGACGCAACCCGATTCCGTGACCAGGGCGCTGCTGGAGGTTCCCGGCTCAGAGAGGTCAAAGGCGAGCTCTGTCCAGGAGGAGGTCACCACAAAGGCGTCCAGCCAGTTCCACTTGCCTAGACTTCCATGGCAAATGATGGGAAACCAGAAGACATGATCTCAGATGCCCAGATGTCCATGGGGAAAAAAGGATCGGCCGCCTTGTTTTTGGCTGGTTGAGTTGAAAGGGGAACAAAGGGCGCCGCTTTCTGCTCCACTGCTAAAAGTGACTAACTTTGAGTGGTTTAATACGGAAAACCCATTAGTTGGCAAAAAGCTAAAGTCCTAACATCCAAGCAACATGCACCAATGGAACATGACAAAACATGATCCACTGCAAATGTTTACTAACATTCCAGAAACTGAACTAAGGGATCCCCAAGCAAAGGATCTTTATCATGGTGAGCTGGTTATACCCCCAGGTGAGCTCGCCAGAAATTAGGCATGATGGGAACATGACGAGAAAATGATGGCAAACAGTTGCTTGAGCAACCAAAAACGACAGCTGTTTGCTGTTCAATGGGACAATAATTGAAATCGCCAAAGAGAAAGAACAGGCTTCAAACAAGTCTGGCAGTGTTGCATCCGCGGCCGCAGAAGTACCCGCAAACGCCCGCCGCCACCAAACGTAGCAGGGCTTCCAGGGTGAAAAGCACGGCGTAGATATTGTGTACTATCGTAAATGCGGGATCCAGAGCCAGCTCCGCGTTGTCCACGCGCCACTGCAGTTGCACTCCTAGAAAAATTGAGTTACTCAAAATGATGAAGGCGAAGAAGAGGTTCGCGCAGTAGGAGTTCATGATCCAGCTCGCACCCTCCTGACACTTCCTCCAAACTGTCTCCGCTTTCGACCTCGGCTGATTGCGACACCAAGAAAGCAACAAAGACAAAGATTAATTGATGTGGGTCTTAAAATCCGCCGACCCCTTTGCCAAAGCCATGCCATCCCTGGCAAAGGGGCGAGGCATGTTCTTAGAATATACGTTGCAACACACTCGTGAAAGCATCTCGTTTCTTGGTTGCTGTTGGCTTCTCTGCAAAAAGTCGTTAACTTTTTGTGGGTTCAACCAAACCGTTAAAGTCTAAAGATCCGTTACCAAATAGCAATCATGTTCTTTGCCGTCCATGCCGATGACTTTCCACCCCAGTCTGCCATCGCACCATCCCTGGTTCGTGAGAGGGTGACATGATCCATAACTAGCAGTTCACCTGGGTGGCTCCCTGCTGAAAGCAGGACTAGGTGAATTGTGTGGAAAAAAACTCATGTCGCCAAACCAACGTGGCAACACTGTTCATTGCTCCTGAAACACACCAATCGGATCCATCTCGAGCTTCAAAACCAGTGTTCACCTTTGAGGCCAACCCTGTCATGGGGTCCTTGCACCGTCGGGTTGTTTTTGTGCACGATCCTCGGCTGGATATTTTTTGCTCAGGGGGAACTCCACTCGAGAAATGTCTTGTTTCTAACATCCCCCACCCAAAGACATTTGAACTGACAGCGACCAGGCGGAGCTTGACACAGCCTGGCCCCGTGGGACCAATATCTCTACGAGGGTGCCCACTTACCCCCAAACCAAGTTGCAAATCAGGCACATGACATACGCTTTACACCCAGCTACAAGTTTGCACGCCAGGGTCCCGACCTCTAAGCACGGTCCTCTGGATCCGGCTGGGTCTAGAGGGCGTGCAGTTTGGGGTTCTTGGGGTGCTGTTTGAGGTGCTGGTGACGGTGCGGGCGCATTGATATAAGATTGAGTGAGGGCGAATTTTTGCGAGATTCATGGCAGGGTGCTAGGGGGGATGCAGTTTGGGCTTTTGGTGCAGGGTCTGTGTTGGGGTGCTGTTGACGGTGCGGATGCATTTTGCAAAATTGACGGCAGGGTGCTTAGGGGGCATGCAGTTTGGGGTGCTGGTGCAGGTGCTGTTTTGGGGGGGGGGGGCCTGGTGACGGGGTGGGGCGCACGTTTGAAAGATTAACGGCCGGGTGCTGTCAGGGGGAGGTTTGTTTGGGGCGCTCTTGCTGAAACAGTTGCTGGTATGCAAGCAGCGGCCAGTTTTTCTCTATCTGGAGTGTATGCTGGTGGAATTAAGGGGGGGTATTTATTATTCGGGGGAAGCGATTCTGAATGTATGTATGTATGCATGCATGCATGCATGTATGTATGTAAGTAAGTGAGTAATGTAACGTAACGTAACGTAATGTAATGCAATGTAATGCTACGCCATGTCATGCTATGTTATGTTATCTATGTATGTATGCATATTAATACATTTATTTATATATATATATAAATATATTATGTACAATATTGGGCTCCAATGTAGCCTGGGTTGTTTCTCGGCATGAGCGCTTTTCTAGAAGGCCCATGTTGGCGCTTGAGCGTTTCAGCCCGGGGACTCGTTGTGGGTCTTCAAGGAGCCACTGGGCGCCCAAAGCTTCTTCAGCTGTTCCGCCCATTGCAGGGACTTGATCACCGCCAGGCTGTAGCTATCCATCCTACCCGGAAGGCAGCTCACAAGCCAGCAGGGGGTCATTTAGGGTTTAGGTCATTCTTTTGACGGTTTCGGCGGTTAAAGTCAAAAACTGGGGGGTGTTTCCCTTTCACCGACCAGGGGGTGACTTTGAGAGTGGTAAAATAAAGGAGCCCAAACAAGCAAAATGAAACAAATGAAGAACACAAAGAACCCCCTGACCAACAAGAGAACCCTAGGGAGCCCAAACAAGTAACAACAAAACAACTATATAGCAAATGCACGCCCAACAAAGGAATCGCGCACCAAACAACAAACCACAGAACAGCTTTCCCGGAAAACAAAGCAAACAAAACAAAACACATCGGGAAACCCGCACATGAGCTCCCATCCAAACAAGCAAACAACAAAGCCAAGGGTGAGTGTTGAAACATATTCCTTTGCAAGAACTGCTTTGCAAAGGCAACTCATTCAAAGGTGGCATCCCAGCAGTTGACCGCTGAAAATCGCTAAACTGTTCTTCAGCCAGAACCATACAAACAAATGCGGAAGAGCCGGCCACATCTTTGACCCTTGCTGTGCCCCCGCTGCCTCTTCAGAGCTGGCTTCCGAGGTTGCTTCACCTCATCAGAGAGCTTCCTTAGGTCGCAATCCAGCAAATGGTTCGCAACCAGCCAACCAACTAGAAAACAGGGAACGGAAACCAACTGGAGGGCGGAGACATTTCCCTGCCGGGCCATGGCCTTCCAATTCCCCCCCCCCCGCTTTGGGGTGGTAGGTGTGGACAAAACAAGGTGGTGCCGAGCAATCACCCACGCACTGGGTCTTCGAAGCCGGCAAGAAGCCAAAAGCTTGTCTGCTGCGAACAAACAACAGGCCACGTTCCAAAAAGAGAATGGTGTTACTTTGGTCCAACCACAAAGCAGCCAAGCACCTTTGGCTTTTGGTGCCCTGTTCTAACACAAAATAGGACTGTGCCGAGCACTCCCGAAAAAGGGCGACTCGAAGATGTCCCCTTTTCCTGCTTCCTGGGAAATGGGGAATTGTTCTCAAGCACGCGCTTCTTTTTTTTTTTTACATCCACTAGAACTACCGCTTACTCAGTTTAATTGCTTGTGATAACATCACCTGTTGGAAAGGCAACTTCTCTGGTGAGATTCTCTTGGGGGGATGTAAATCTTCAGGTGAGGGTGGCTTTTGCTTCTTCGGGGAGCCAAAAGGACCACCCACTTAGGTTCCATGCAGAAATAAACTCATGAAAGCCCTGGACAAATCGCTTCTTTCCCCAAAAGGACATGGGACAATTGGGTACCTCGTGTTCGTGGGAAATTTGGGAGTACCCCTGCGTCTTTCCCAAACAACAGTACCCATATTTCTTTCGGTAAACCAATGCCATCCCCTTTGCAGATGATGATGGTAAAAACGTTGAGCGTTACTCGTGTGGGTGTGTTTCGCAAACAGGAGCCCCCTTTTTGGATGGTTTGAAGGGGAAACCAATAACACCACCTGAAGGAATTCGTCCAACCACCATTATGAGTAAGGGTCAGCTTCCCTCAAATAGTGGTTTGGATTGGCGGTTGGTAAAGCAGGGGTCTTCCATTTACCAACCAGGGGTTCAAATCCCACCAATCCAAACCACCAACCTGACAAGTTACCTGAAGAGCTTCAACTCATTAAACAAACAACACACACACACACATACACACACACACAAAAATATGAGAGAAAACACAGAGCAACGCTTGAACCCAGGCAGGGCTCCAACCAAAAAGAAAACCTCCAGTGCAGCAGGGCTTCGAGGCCTGCGAGGGCCTTGCGCTGGAGCCCCGAGACTCTCCGGGCACCTCCAGCTTCAGAGTGGCCACCTGGGTCGAGTTGTCTGGGTCCTCCAGTGGAGAGGTTCGGGTTTTAGGGCACCAACTTCTTTCTGCCTATTTTAGGGGAACCCTCCCCCAAAAAAGTTGGTACAAGGGCGCTTCTGGGGGACCTAGTTGTTCGTCTTGGGGAACCCAACCAAGCATTGTTTTCTTAGGGGTGCCACTCCCTGGACACGGCGTTTCATGTATGTTTGTCTCGGCTTTCTACTTGCTTGCTGTTCCCTCTGAGTCTTGTCCAACCAGACTCTACCAAGTGGGTATGCGTCAAAGAAACATTTCTTGTATCATGCGCGCAAATCCAGTGTGGCCGGGTCGAGTTGGCTTCCCTCTAGTTACTTGAGCAGGGCCAAAGCAAACAACAGAAGTTCAGGGAGGGGACCAAAAGGACTTTCAGAAATATCACTTCCCAACCGATATCCCATCCGCGCATTGCCAGCTGCGTTGGTCACGCACACACACACAAACCCTACACAAACATAAAGACCTGAAGCAAGAATTCCCCCAAAATGTGTGGCTCAAAATTCACCAGGAGGGGTTACGCAGGTGTTGGTCCATGTTTCCATTTACCAGGGTTCCATTTTGGTACCAGTTTTTTGAGCCACAGCCAAATAAGAAATCATCATGCAAGGGCTGCAACGCCCCGTGAGGTCGCTACACCTTTCAAGGTCAACATTTCTTGACTGCTCTGGCGCCAAAAACGCCCAAGAGCGGATGGACATGAAGCAAAGAACTTCGCACGTGTGCAACGACAGTCCCAGCAAATGCTGTGTTGAATAGGGGCCAGCAACAAACAAACAACATTCACCCCATTGTAGTTGATACTGGCGGGAACCCACAATTGTTGGTCAGGCATCTTTCCAAGCTCAAGCCAGCGCTGGCGGTGTGTTGGGACTCCGGCCTTGACCTCCGACTCCTCCTTCCAAGTACTCTCCTGCGATGTTCGGGGGTTAATCTGTCCGCCTTTCTCATGAGCAAAGAGCATGGTCAATCTCCACCGCTAAGAGGCGGGGTGCCTTCCATTGTTTCCCTTGTATCCACAACAAATGTATGAGGGATGGTACATACACCATGCGCTATTATTTACATCAGGTGGGAAGACAAAGGTTTTCCTGGTCGTCAAAAGCCTGACTTCTGCCAAATGCAACTGGGGCTGCTAGCCATAGCCCACCTGGCGTGGGACACATTACCCATTGCCCTTCCAGTCAAACACGCTACTGTTTAGACTCTCACCTAACTCTTAAGCATACGCATGACAGTCTGCGTCCTTTGATGGTGGCACGCATGTGCGTGCGTCTTGCTTTGTAAAATGTTGGCTTGCCATGCCTCAACGCTCCACGCAAGGCTGTGTCTGGGTTGTCATACAGAAAGCTCCAAGCGGCAAAACACAGGGAACAACGACCTGGCAATGCTGACCAACTTCCATTTGCTCAAGCCCATGGAAAAATATACTTCCAGTAAAGAGAGATTCCCCTTATTTTTGCGCAATTCAGCTACGCTGTGTGTCTCCGAGCTCGAAGAGCAAGGGCAACCCTACGCGTAGGGTATGCCTCTGCCGTGTTCTGTTGCACCAGATCCCCTGCATCACACGCACGCAGAAATTTGGACCCAAAACATCCCCGACATCCCGGGCCTTGCGACGGGCTCCTGATGCCACGTTGCCCAACCTTCAAACAACACCGTAAATACTCAAATCGCCCCCGACAGTCGCCGGCATCACCGCCAACATCCCCTGCATCCTGGCCAACTTCACCAGCATCCCCAGAATTCCTGAATCACCAGCATGATGGCTTTCCATTCCTTGCATCCCTTGCATCCCCGGCATCGCGCCAACCCTCGAAAAATGGCCGTAGGTTTTGGTGGTGGGCGGACGTAGCGGGCATGTTTGCGATGAAGTGAGTGGGGTTTCTGCGAAAGCGGGGCGTCACTAATGCGGAGAACAACGCAACACGTGCTGCTTGGTCATTTTTACAGGTTTTTGTGGGGCTGAGAGTGGATGCAGGGGATGCAGTCTTCGTCTGAGTGGCTTTGGGCGTGTGCCGGCAAGCTAGGGTGGGTGGGGAAGGGCTGGTGGGAGGGCGGGCGGTGAGGGGTGGGAGTGGGAGGGAGGTTGGGTGAGCAACCCCTGCAGGCAACCAGCTGGTGATGGCGCAGGATCCCAAAGGCTTTTCCTGTTGCAAACTCCGGGTTTCTTCCTCGAAGCCGCGAAGCCTTCCACATCGGAGCACCACACAACACCCACTTTCTGCACACAAACATGGGGTCCGGGTGAGGCGCCGTGACTGAACTTCACACAACAAACCCTCGCTACATTCCAGGAGCCAAGTGACGACATTCCAAACACCTGAGACCAATGAACGTTTCACAGCACCCGTACGCCCATCTTCCCCATTTCGTTTTCACCCACAGCTTTTGATCAAATTTCTGAAAATGGAACACTAAAAACAAAGAAATGAATAATAGAACAATAGAATCATGGAACAATAAGAACAAAGGAAACAAAGAAATGGACTCCCCATTTGCCATGAACTCTGAGGATTCCTTCCCCGGAACCCGCCTGGACACCTCGAAAGCGAGCGTCGAGGCTGGCAACGCTCTCGATGCATTGGTCCATGCGCGCCATCAACTCCTATCGGATCGATGGGGAACGGGCCAGGTGGACTTCCCCAGCTCGAGGCTTGCCTCTTCATAGGTTTCTTGTCACCTTCAGACCCCTGGGCCCCTTCTCTGAGTGATTCCTATGATGGGCAAAAAAATGTTTGATTTTTTGGTGTGCCAGAATGGTGTTCGCATGCACGGGATTGGGAAGCAACCGTGAATCCCTAGCTCCCGCGAAACAGGGATAGATCTGTGCATTCGTTTTCAGACTTGTATGAAAGTTTTCAGCCATTGAGTTGGACTCAATGAAGCCTTCACCGTAAAATTTCTGGCACGCACAGCGGCCAAAGCCAAGCTGACTTTTGGTTCAAGCCAGCAACCAAGGAGTACCCTCACCCATCCAGTAGCCCGCTGAAATGGCCAACGGGGGGGGGGGGTTGGCGTGAAACAGCAGCTTGCTGGCCGATTGATCCTTAAATGCGGGCATCCCTCGAAAGCGCATGGGATCAACGCACTCATAGAACTCATTGACCTAAAGGGATCTGCAAACTCGGTTCAAAAAGCAGGGAAAGCAACATGGCTGCGACGCATCAAACAAATAAGTGCACTCTCATTTCCATGCCAACACCCACTAAACTTAACCCTTCTTTCTGAAGATGCGATGAGCCCAAGGATCCTCTTGGGATAGACACAACCCTATCCTTGCTGACTCCAAGCACACGAATGTGCCTCTGAAGCAACGCCTCCATTCAATCCCAACTGGTGAAGAAAGCAATGAACTATCAAGCGGGAGAGCATGAGATCGCAGGCAGATTTTGCGGAAAAAGCGGTGGCAAAGGCGTCTCCTCCCGCCCAACCCAGCCTGATGCTGTCTTTCCAGGAGCCCAGCCAAATCCATGTCTACGGTGTGCGGCATTTCGCCGAAATCGTGCTATGGGTTTCATTCTGAATTTGCCTCATACTCTTAGTGCTCTCATCGCTTATCTAAGCGCTCTGCTTGCTGCGATTTTAAGCTGAAACACCTTCGCGTGGCCAAACAGCTCCATGATCAACGCTCGAGCCTGTGCTCAGATGTGGACCGTACACAGCTTCCTACATCACGCTGCTTGTTCCAAGTCATCTCAAGTCAGAAACAATTCATATCCAATCTCCACCCAGCTGTTTTAGAAGGGTCGCTCATTCCAAGTAGCTGCCCGTCCTGGAAACTAGACATGACAAAATTGCGTACATCCCAGGTGAACCCGGGAACTTGGGCGCAAGCGGTTCAAGTGCAAGGCGGTTCCGCATGCACTGGCGGACCAAAGAAGTCACGCCATAAAGTGAGCGCAATCCTGATTTAAGATCCCATGGGGTTTTGTGCTCAAACTAGTCCGCCAAATGCTTGGAATCATGGTTGGCTTCTCTTTGAACCAACGCTATCACCTTTTTTTGACACAGACCAACATGAGTGTGCCGCCCCTCAAATGCGGCAAAACTCCTTCAGCCAGCTTCTGGCAACATGCGAGTCCTTCTCCAACAGGCCAACCAAAGTTCTCTGCTATGGCTGTGGCTCAAAAAACCGGGTACCCCCAAAATGGGTTGCCCGATCGGCAAGTGGAATAGACCAACACCTGCGGGTTGCCCTTGCTTAATTTTGAGCCACACCCATATCATCATTCTTATGCGCTTTTGTGGCGACAGGATTTTCTCCCCTGCGCGATAGGATCTCTTCGAGCCTCGGGTGGGCAAAATGTGCCAAGTCGCTCGTGAGAAAATGCTGGTCCAGAGGCAAACGTTCAACTACCAAACTCCAATCTGTCTTCCGCACTTTCCGAACGAGGTGAGACGAAGCAACGCCTGTCCCTTGAGGACGGGTTGGACTGAACACGTTGAATGCGCATATCACTTAGCAAGACAAGCAGTGAAGGCAGACTAATGTCTGCTTCGACTGCTTCTAAGTATTGTGGTTCGATTGCTTTCTCTGAGAGAATTCAACTGCGAGGAGGTCTATGGTATCCCTGTGCAACAAAATGCGGAAGCCCTTTGATCGGACATGGCATCCGCATCCGATAGTTAAACAGACTCCCCGTTCAGTTCTGGAGGCCATGCTCTGACGACTGTTCCACCATTCCACCCCTTGAATGCTCTCATGGAAGCTGCGACAGGCTCTAAAACTCCGACAGAAAATGGGTGTGTCTTTCGTTGAGGCTGCCTATGTTGTTTTTTTCAAAGGGAAACCAAGAGGACACAGGTTTCCCACGACACACCCAGGCTCTTAGTCCATAAAGAAGCTTTTCGCTCGACCAGACTTGCCGTCAGAGGCAACAGCCACGAGCCTCACACCTTCAAACGCTCCAATTCACAGAAGTTGGACTTCAAGATCGCCTGAGGCGAAGGCGATGCAAAAGGGCCTGGCAACAAAGGGACTTTTTTCTAAAAGAACAGCAACATGAGCACAGTGACAAGCATGATGCTATGCGGTGGTTTCACGGTTTGAACGTAGCGTGGGTATGGTTCATGGCAGGAATCAGATCTGGTTTAGTGTATTGGGTTGGGGGAATGCATACCCTGGCCATTCCTTTCAAACACAGCCAGCCCATCAAGCACTCCTCTCGCTTCAAGATCTCCTTAGGCAAACAAATTACCTTATGCTTCAGCTTGTTGGCCGGAGGCTTCGCACTGGACGGGCCCAAAAGAAGCCCCTTTGGGGAGCCAGATAGGCTGCGACCACCGGACCACGCAGACACAATCCCCTTGCACGCTGAATTTGTAATTGCTGTAAAATTCGCATTGTGCTGGGCCCACAGATGGACAGCTGCCGCAAAGAGCCCAGCAGAGCCTAGGGCCAGCCTAGGGGCTGCAGGACACACACACCAGAGAGCAGGCAGTGCGGCTGCGAGCAGCCGACAAGCATAGCCCAGAGGGCGAAGCCTACGCAATGGCCCCCAGGGAGAAGGCCCAATCCTTGGGCATACGACCAAGTCGGGACGTGCGAAGCAGGACCCGCCCCGCTCAACCCAGGCTTGCTCCTCCCCCCACGAGGCCAGGTGACACCTGTGTAGTGTCCAAGCCGAGGCTCCCAAAGCGGCGGAAAAGCCGTGCTTTGAAATACAGCGGCGGACAGCTTTGTAGTGCACAAGCAAGTCGCGGGCTGTAGCCGCAGCGCCCTGCTGGAAAGGCAAGATGCGCGGATTGCGCTTCCAAAGCAAAAGAGCTGCCTCCAGGCCCGGCTTGAATCCCTCCAGGCGAATCTCCCACACTGCCGAGTGCGTCCAAGCATGCCAAAGGTCTGTGGCCGCCAAGGCAAGGAACAACCGCTGCAACCAGAGGTGACGCCAAGACAAGCGAGGAGCCGAAAGGGCCAAAGAGGCACGGGCGGCACGCTTGGCTGCCAAATCAGCGGCATGGTTGCACCGAGCATGAAGGAGCTCAACCGGGGTAAGAGGCTGATCAAGGAGGACATGACCCCTGATCCAGTGGAGGGACAAGGCGAAACCCGACGAAGCGCAGGCGAACCGTCCCAGAGAAGCTGCCAGACATCGGCAGCCCACATTGGAGGCAACACAGCCGCGATGGCAGAAGCCTTGCCAGGCCCGGACAGCGGCTTCGGAGTCAGTATGCACCGTGAGGCGGCACGGGCGAGCTGGGCTGCACACAGGATGGCATAGACTTCAGCACGATAGTTATCAGCAAGGAGGCCAGGGACGGGCCCTGAAGCGCAAAGCCTAGCAGAGGCACTGATGACAGCAAAGCCCGCCGCAGCAAAAAAGCAAGTGGTGAGAAAACGCTGCCATCGGTCCACAGGTGGACCTCCGCGCAACCAAACCAGGGGAGTGGAGAAATGTTAGGCCAGGGCGTAGCCCGGAGCGCGGCGCTGGACAGGTCAGCCGGGATGTAAAAGGCGGGCCCTGTTCCTTGCGCTGAGCAGGAGGCTGACCGATGCGGTTGTGAAGAGAGGCACATGCGGTTGTGAAGAGAGGCACAATGCACCAGGTGGGCGATGGACTCATCCGCTGCGTCACAAAAGCGGCAACGGCCAAGTTGGAGGCATATAGCCGGTCGGCCGTGGCTGCCGAGCCAACCACAACCGCAGGAGCGACAGCCCGATTGACAGGAAAAGCACGGGCAAAGGAAGTCCAACCATGGCCCGGCGGCACAGACCAGGGACAACATCAGTGCGCTTCCCACGGCAAGCCCGCTCGTAAGAGTGCTGAGCAATGGTCCACTGCAAGAGCCTAGCCAAGGAGCGGAGGGAGACGTTGAAAGGCAAGTTGTGCAGGAGAAAGCGCAGACCATGCAGGGTGACAGCAGCAATCAGGTTGAGCTCAGCCGAGTAGGTGAGCATGGGCATGGCCTTACGGGCCACGAAGGTGGCCTTGGCAAAGGGTGACAACGGCAGGGCACGGATAGCGACCGCTGGGTGCTGAAAGACAGCCTTGCCTGAGTGTAGCGCAGAGTGGCGGAGCTGCTCCTAGAGGCACGCTGTCGTGCCCGGGGCACCTCAGCCCTCTCACAAAGAGAAGCCACACCCCAGGGGTCAAGTCGAGAGAGGGAAGCGAAGTTTGCGAGCGGTGAAAGCGTCTCAGAAAGGTGACCGCGGCATCGGAGCCGCAGTAACAGGCAGGCGAGCCAAGCGGTAGAACGCTTGGCCCACGAACGCGGGAGCCACGGCCCCACGCCCCAGAAGCCACCAAGACACGGAGCGCAAACTCAGAGAAGAGGGACCAAGCATGCTCAGAGTTGCGAACCTCAGAGAGAGCCCGGCTGTAGGTCTGCTGCCAGAGGTCCTCGGCGCACTGAGCGACCTGGGCAGGGGAAGCCAAACCCTCAAGGTCCAAAGGAGCAAAGGAAGCGAAGGCCACGGCACGAGACACCTCAAGAAGGGCAGCAAACGTGAGAGACACCGAGGCGTGCTGGTAACCGCAAAGGGGCAGTCAACCCAGACCCCAGCCCCAACTGCATCCTCAAGTGACGCATGGAACTTCGCAGCAAAGTCCAAGACCTGGGCGAGCAAGGCATCGTTGTGCTGATGAGTGGCATCATCAGAGGAGGCCCCGGAAATCCCGTAGAAATTGATAAGCAGGAACCGCAATCGGCCAAAGACAGCCCACGAGACTTGCAGCCGGCCAGTGGCAAGCAGGGTACACAGGTGGCCCGTAGTGTCCATACAGACATCAAAGTCATAGACGACACACAAGCCCGCGGACACCGTTAATATCCGTGGCGATGGGGAGAAGGGGGCCCGATGTGGGCTGGCGGCCAGCCTCATGCGCCCGAAACCGAGCAGTGCGAATGTTGTCCGCAGACAACCGAGCCTCCTGCATCATGAGCACCTGGGCCGAACAGCCAGCAAGGTCAGGATGCGCCAAGAAGGAGCCAACATTGTGCGACAGGAAAGTGATGGGCCCTTCGCCAGGGAAGCCCAAAGTGGAACCAAAGCAACAAAGGACAAATAGAGCACGGGCCACCCAGCCCAGGTGAGCCATGCAGCAGATACATGTGAGGGACAGGGCGGCCCCATCGCCAAATCCAACTCACAGAGCGGACACAGCAACTGAACCAAAAAGGGCAAAGGGGAGTGGGACCACACTCGACCCCGTATCCATGGCAGGACCATGGGGCATAGGAGGGTAGAGGGGGCACCGGCCCCTTTGCAAAAACCCAAGCAAGGGGGGGGACTGTGAAGAACCCGGAGGGCCACAAAGGCCCAAGCAGGCAGGCGAGCTAGGCGCCCATGTATCTGGCACAGAGAGTGCGCAGCGGCGCATCAGGGTGGGGGATGCGGCTCTGGAGGACTGCGCGTGGTTTGTCGAGGCCGACCTCAGACGGGTTGGTGGTGGGCAGAGTGGCATCGTCGAGGAGTCGGGCGTGGTCGATGTCCGGGGCCTCCTACCTGTGCATCCACTTTGAACTGGATCAAGACCTGGCCGTGCCACCGGGCAGGGTCGGTGTCATCAACCAAGCCAGCAAGGGACCCCAGTGCAACATCGGACAGAGAGCCCAGAGCCTGCAAAACCACAGGGTCACGAGACAGCGTGGCAGAGAGCGACCACCGGAGAGAAGAGAGCCCCAGAACGCAAAGGAGCCAAGAGGGCGGAGGACGGGCCAGCAAGGGAAGGCGGCCACAAGAAGAAAACCGGGGCGGTGGGATTGTAGTATCCACCTTGGTAGACGCGCGACGCTCCGGGGAGGAGTCGCCGCGCCCCGGGTGCCCAGAACCCTGCGGCGAAAGACCTTGAAGCCAGACGCCTAAAAGGGAACCCTTTTCGGGGAAGACAATTTTTAGTGGGCAGCCATCCAAAAAAAGGAAAACGAATCGGTGCCACTGAACAACTGAGACAGGGTATGGGTCAAAATGAGTCCTCCAGGGACCGCATGTTGTAGTCATTGTTTCCTTTTACAAGGGTTCCATTTTGGGTACCTATTCTTGAGCCACACTCCATGGTGAGCATCCGGAGCATCAAGGGTGCAGGTCAACTAGAGTCATCAACACAAAGCTAGCCAGATTTTCGAGCTGAGTGAATCTGGCTGATACTTGTTGCTTGGTGCCTGTCGCCCCATTCACGCGCAAGGTCCTCCAGTGTGAATCTGTGCGGATTCGCTACACATCCCCCCGCCTTTGGTCGAACCAGCTCCTGCATTTGCGACTGCGCCTAGCAGGGAAGGGACGCGAATGAAACCTCTAAAGAACCACTGTTTCTAGGGGTTGATTCCTTGGTCTTTTCAATAACCAGCTGTTTCCCTACCCCTAGACTAGACTGTTACTTGCCTTGCGTCAACTTCACCCGGCTCTGCACATCCAAAGGGCCGTGTTTTCAAGTTCCCTTTTTCATGCCCAACCCGCCACTCCACGCAATCTTTGCCAGGCATTCGAGAGGGAGGGAATGACATTGAACATGTTCGGTGTGCCGAATCCGGGTGCTTTCAAGCAGAAACATGCATTTTGCTTAGCAATGCGCACAAGGAAATCCCCCTCCAACCACCTTGCAGGGCAACACATCATGCAAGCAACATGTTCTCGCCGATTCCACTCCAACGGTGCGCATGCAATTTAAAGAACAGCAGCCAAAATACAAATAAACAACAAAAAAAGAAACAAGCAAGACAACAAGCACGCAAGCAAGCAAACAACACGAACAAACAAACCAACAACCCAACACACAACTAAATAAGAAAACAAGCAAACAAGCAAGCAAAAATGCAAAACAAACAAAACAAATAAACCCCCTACCTACCAACCAGCCAGCCAGCCAGCCAGCCAGCCAGCCAGCCAGCCAACCAACCAACCAACCAACCAACAAGCCAGACCAAAGCGACCACACACCAAACACAACAAGAGAGCATCATGAAAAACAAAACGCGCAAACATGCAAACAGAAGCAACAAAGTCACCGCGTTAGAGACCGCGAAGCCCCGCGGCACTTTCCTCGCAACGGTCAAAGCCAAATACATGGGAACTCCCAACGCATCGTCAAGAGAGGCAATGTGGGCATTCTCCCGCGGATTGTATGTCGCAACATTTTTGTCTTATTCTTTGCAGTCCTTTGTAGAGCGCGCCACATGCAGCCACGGTCTCCGCACAGCCTTTATTGGGCATCGCCTTTCTGGGCTTCTTGCTCTTCCCTCTGCGCAAGTTGAAGACTACCTCGCTTGTCCGTAACCACCCGTTCAAGCGTCATTGGATCATGTACGTCTGATTACGTCTGTGTGTGCCTGTGCGTGCGTGCGTCGTGCGTGGGTGGCTTTGCGTGTGTGTCAGCGTGCGTGCGTCCGAGTGCGCGCGCCTCTCTGTCCGCGCAAGGAAAGCGGGGTGTCAACGAACAGCGTGCGCAAGGCCGGCAAGCGTGAGTTTGTGCGCGGCCCGCGCGGGCGTACAGGCTCCGGGAACAACCGGCGAGTGCGGTGTCTGTCTGTGTGTCTGTGTCTGGCTGTGTCTGTCTTTGTCTGTCCGTGTGTGTCTGTGTCTGTCTGTGTCTGTTCATGTCTGTCTGTGTCTCTCTCTGTGTGTCTCTGTTCGTCTCTGTCTGTCTGTCTGTCTGTCTGTCTCTGTCTGTCTCTGTCTGTCTCTGTCTGTCTCTGTCTGTCTCTGTCTGTCTCTGTCTGTCTCTCTCTGTCTCTGTCTGTCTCTGTCTCTCAGTGTGTGTCTCTGTTTGTCTCTGTTTGTCTCTGTCTGTCTGTGTCTGTCTGCCTGTCTGTCTGTCTGTCTGTCTGTCTGTCTGTCTGTCTGTCTGTCTGTCTGTCTGTCTGTCTGTCTGTCTGTCTGTCTGTCTGTCTGTCTGTCTGTCTGTCTGTCTGTGCGTGTGCCTGCAGGCTGCCGCAAAGCCAACATGTTCGAGAACTTCCAGCCCCCACCCCCCCCCCAACGCAGAAAAGTTGTTTGGGAGCTATTGGTCGCTGATTGCGCCGTGAACAAGAACGAACAAGCACACAATCACAGAAACTGACAAAACACAACAGAACGGAAACAACCAACAAATCCATCTATCCAACCAACCAACCAACCAACAACAAATCCAATCCAATCAAGCCAACTCAGCCCAATCCAATCCAACCAATCCAATCAACCCAATTTAATTAACCCCAACCAATCAG